CTCACTGACATTGCGGAGGAGGAGGTAGATTTGGGGGCGTCCCGGCCCGGTTTCAATTCTTGGTCAGGAAAATGCTAATTTAGCGTCTGGTGATAATGATTGTTCCCTTGTCTAGTCTCAGTTTAGCGTGGGTGCCTCTGTAGCTGAACGCGGAAGACGAATCTGATGTCATGATGGTGTATTGCTCGTGATGAGGAGTGCTGGCTTTACGCCTGAGACAACGCCCTTGAGTTATCACATTTCTAAGAATTAATCCAGAAAGAATTGACATGTTTCCAGAACTTCTAGAATGTGCCACTTTTTTACATATCTCCGACCTCAGTCCTCCCCCATTAATATACGTGCTCTGTCTCACCGCCCCCAGAACTGTCCCCCTTCCTAACACGGCAAGCGTTCTTCTTTCTCCGATGCGCGTATGTGACGAACCCGCATTGTTTGGTAACGCGAGTGGAGCTGGATCTGTTCACGTGTAGACAGGAGAATGGCTTGTTGCTTGACAGCGTGGATCTGCTAACTACCGAGTCATGCCACGTTAGGTGCTAGCGCCGGGAATCGATCACGCAAATATTCCGCCGAACAGCTTATTTCCTATGGGATTTTAGAACAAGGGCACATAAAATCTGCATGCTGGATGCGACATTACGATGCAACGTGGGCGAGCTGTCAAAAACACCTGATATGATACTGCATCTCACTGCCGCGATATGAGCATCGCGTCCTCGCGTTTGCTTTCAAGACATTTACAGCGAGTTGTCTCACTCACTGTAATACTTCTAGATTACCGGTTTGTCCGCCAGGGCTGTTCACTGAGACATTTAACAAACCTGCATCAATACCCGCAACCCGATGTCCCTCGGTGTTGGACTGCTGGCTTGCGAAACCCACCACACCGTCACGACGATCTGCAAAACAAACTTCTCGATCCAAGACACGTCCCCGATAATCAAGGAGGGGCCAAGTGGATCGTCACCACCAGTTCAACCCGTGCATCCCTGTTTTCTAGCTCTAGACCCTAGTTGATATGCCTCAAACAACCAGAAAGAATTGCAGAACCAACACGCATACTGCAAGACAGATTGATAATTCTTTCAATCATGTACTGATATCCCTCGGTATTGCTAGCTGCGACTTTTTGATCCGCTGTCTCTGTGATGAAAATGAAGTTATAAAAGGAAGCTCGTGAACCGCCCTAGTAGGGATCCATCAGACGCTCAGACTCTCATACCCTCGTAAACTATCAAGTCATACCTAATCTCCCCTTGTCGATCGAAATGTCTTTGCCCTTGTGTCTACCCTGGCCTCAGCGAGCCTACTGGGGCGAGTTTGACCTCGACGGGCTCAAGATAAAACCTAGAGACCGTGCCCTACACGATTCAAGTTCCACCGCCGATATCCCCCCGTACTTCTGGGGCAAGGGTCTCCGGGGCCGTGGGCTCGGGAGATTCCTCACCCGAAGGACTGCCAAGCCCAAGCACACTGGATACACTGAAGCTAGAAGTCTGATCGGACGCGGTACTGTTGATGATCTCCAGAGGCTGTCGTATCATGCAAGCACTTTTGTTATTGAAGTGTTTGAAGATATTGAAGATGCTTCTGGTGCCTCGTCGACTGAATCCTTGTCGTCAGGACCAAGAGTAACTCAGCTAAGACTCTCCCCTGAGCTAGAGGCATGGAAATCCTCCCAGCATGCGATCGGCAATGTCTTGCCGCCCAAGGGCGCTGGGTTGAGCCCTGTATCCCAAGAGATCCTCCACATCCTTGGCGCAGAGGACTGGCCTGAAGCTCTCAAGACGACGAACGCCTTGTTCGGATGCGGTATCGCCAGTCTTCTCATGGGCGCTGCTGATTCAAACACCATGTTCTCCAACTACGTAACCGACATGGCGTTCTATTACGAACACGGATACAACTATGTATTCCCCAACCTTGAGCCGCTGTTAGAGAAAGGTCTTAATGATCCTCATGCGCTACGAACCCCTGGTGGTCGGGAGCGTCGCAATGCAGTGGCCATTGGCAAGCGATACATCCAGGGCAAGATCGCGCTTGAGAAGAAACACAAGGGCCATCTGCTGAACCGTTCAGCGTGCCTTGATCGACGAACCGCTCAGATCGTTTCATTGTCTGAGAGTAGTCTTCTTGGCATGGCGGCTGAGGCTACGGCACGAGGCTTCGACCCTGGCGCTGTCATGGCCGATCTTGTGTTTAGTTCACCAGGAACCGATGTCGTCGACGTTGGATGCGATCTCGTCAACTCAGAGGTCATGAACTCGTTCTTGAACGTCACTGATATCACGGATACTGGTGTTGTGAGCGAGGATGTTTTGAGGAGGGTCTATGATGCGTATGCTGTTATGGGCGCGAGGATGCTCACTCAGCGATGGCATGAGCCTGTTGCGAGGATGTGTGCTGCGCTGTATACATGGCATATTCAGAATGATCGACATATGTTCTTCCGTCGTGCTTTGATGGGATGGGAGATGGCGAGGAAGACGCCTGCTCAGCCTCAGAGTGAGGGGGACTTTGATGAGGTGTTTGACAAGCAATTCCGCCTTACTGGATTCTCTCGTCCTCTCGAGGCCAAGTATGCTTGCAACGGCGAAGATACTTGCGACCACGTCCACGATCATCTTGCGCGCCATGATGAAGAGCCTCTCCTCAAAGAACTCTGGTGGTACCTCGTCACTTGTCCTCTTGAGTACGTCCGGGGTGGCAAGGTCGACGAGGCTCGCGAATTGGAATTAGCCGAAGGGTCGAGGCTACGAATGGCCAAGCTTTTCGCTAAGGGCCGGGTGTTGGAGATGGTTTGGTTGATTGCCCATGCGAACCATCACGCGTGGCAGGTCAACTACTTGTTTGAGGCTGCCATGTTTGGTAGTATCCTTGATGGTGGCAGATTGATTGGAAAGCTGGATAGAAAAGATCAATGATTATGGGTCATGATAAGATGATGATTGGATGATTTACGGATTGCGTTGTGTTTTTTGGAGCTGCTTGATTATGATATCTCTTATGTTTAGTATAGATTGCGAATTGATCTTCCATATTATATCACTGAGCCTTCACTGGTAAAATGTCTTTGTGATTAACCATGTTTTCGATTCAAGCTCTATCTAGATAAACAAGTCGCTATGCAATGATGAAGAGAAGCAGCAAATTACCGATATGCAACACCCTTGCCCTCATCAAACAAATGTGATCTTCCATCTCCCTGCCGTCTGTCAAGTTGTCATGTCAAACCTTATCAGCAGCTAAAAATGGGCTGACACAATTTCCGGACCTTCTATCCCCCCCACGGAGAACAACGCATCACCTAGTGTTGCATCACCTGGAGACTAAGCCGCTGCAACCTTTAAAATGTCACTATCACTCCCCTTGCTAGGCGGATATGCAGTCGCATCGGTGCTCGGACACCACGTCTCAGCGTCACCCGACCGGTCAGAGGTGAGTCCGCTGCTCCCGGGGTTCTTGAACCCACGTTCCTGTTGTCGTTGAAAAGAGATCTTCCGAAGACGCTCGGTCTCTGCGGGCGTTAGGTGAAGCTGCGAATCCTTGTTAGATATCGTTGAGCAAAAGCTTGGCGATCGAACTTACATAGACTTCAATGCCGATTGCGTGGATGGCTAGCGCTAGCCAGAGGCCCATGGAGAAACCTAGCGATAGAGCGGATGCAATGTTCTCGGTGCCCTCGCCTGACATGTCACCTTGGACTGCAACCCAGGCATTTAGATCCCGGCAGGTAGGGTATTTGGCGATCAAGGACTCGGTGTCGTCGTAGAAGGAAGCAACCTTGGCACATTGCATTGGAAGTCGGAAGCTCGGGTTCTTGGACATGGTCACCGCAGAGATGATCATAATAATCCGCACCGTGATGATTGAACCAGCCTGCGCGTGTTAGATGATGTAGCGCACGGGTGAGGTTGACGGGAGACTTACGTAGAACCACGCGCGGAGCATCCATGCACGATGCTGCTCAAGCTGCAGTGTCTTGATGTTCCAAATCGCCAGAAAGAGTGCCCCGAGGAACATGATCGCCATGAGACCTACAGCAGCTCTAACAGAAAGTGAGCCACCAAAAGCAACCGGCGCAATAATAATAGCACCGACAGTCCCGATAACAGCCAAAACAACAACGATATATCCATTCATACGATGGAAAAGAAGCGCTTTGTATCGGATAAAAGGAACAAATTGAAAGACAACAAGGAATGAAGCTGGGATGATGGTGTAAAGATGCATTTTGATGCCGATCTTGTAAATGTCCTTTCTGTTATAGGACCAGCATTCGCCTGGACCTGCGCCGTTACCAGTGCTGTTGGGATTGCAGTAGATGCCGTTGTAATTGAGGAACATCATTCGGGCGAGGGCAAAGCCGAACATGGCGCCGGCGAAGATGAACCAGAGGATGAAGTTGTAGCCTTTGGAGAAGCCGATTGGGTTGTAGACCTTGCGAGCCTTGGCGACGAAGGTGTTGGCTGGGGGGCGTGTTGGAGCTGCCATTGTGTTTAGTGTATTTGGGCTTCGTTTAGTTGGTCTGTATTATTGCGACGACAAGATTGAAGCTCATTGAGGACTTGAGTATTTATATACAGACGTTGTCTCATAGACTGGCAGCCCTATGTCTCGGCAGTTAATATCGTAGCTGTCATCTCCAATCCTCCCGCGCACAATGAATCTACAATTAGATAAAAGCAAGGGCAATCTCTCGCATTCACATTGCCAAGCCCGCTTCAATCCAATCAAAGCGAATGCGAATCCCGCTCGTAAACGAAAATGCATCGTGGGGGTTTGAGCGCTAAACTACATCGAGACTCAATCCGCGCTGGGAAAAAGTCAATGCCGTCATCAGCGACTCAAGCGAAAGCGAAGCATTCAGTTTGGAAACTGAGTCCTGCGGCTTTTTTATTTTTCGCTTTGGCCGGGTGCTGTCACTTTATGTTTGTCCTGCGGATGTCAGAACGTAATCTGTGAGCTGACGGCATTTGAACAGCTGATATCCGAAAATGGTTGGTGTGCCTGGCAGATCCAAGGCATGCGTCACCTGTCGACGGCGGAAGAAGGGTGTAAGTCTACCGGTTTCTCTAACGGTCGCTGCTAATGATTGGTCAGTGCGATAAGAAAGTGCCCTTTTGCGGCCAGTGTCTCGCCCTGGGTATCCCATGCGAAGGATACGAGCGTCAGCAAATATGGCTCAACAGCGAAGGTTCCACGCAAAAGTCATACACTAAATCTCCCTCACGAAGTCCGTCCTCATCACCTGCAAGCTTAACTCCAGGATCGGTGGTAATACTTCATGATTCACTTACTAGAACAGCCAGAGCACAAAAGTTCACTGGCCTTTTCTGGTCAGATTATCTGTCTGGCGGAAGTGGTTACTCCCTGAAAGCCTCTGGTATAACCAGTACAAAATGGATGAAGCTCTACGAGGCTCTAAGTGAAGTTGAAGCTAGTCTTCAATACGTCGCTATGGCGCTCAGCACAGCAACACTCGGTGCGAATAATAGCGATGTCCAACTCATGGGCAAAAGTCAACAAGCATATGGATTAGCAATGCAGCAAATGGCAACGTCGTTTATATCTCCATCACGAAACAAGGATGGCATTCTCGCTGCTATTCAGCTCATGCGTGTATATGAGGTAAGTACCATTCACAGTATGTCAGTAGAGATATTAACTCCTGCATAGCAACTGTTTGGCACCGGCATTTCAGCTGCTCAAAAGAACTCTCCTGTGTCGCAGATCAAGGGCTTCAGAAAGCATATAGATGGGGAGACCGCTCTGATATTGAGTCGCGGCCCTGAAGATTCGTGGTCCTCCATGGGGAAACAGCTTCTTGCAGATGGTCGCCTAACCTTGGTAAGTTTCGCCTTCGCAGACATATTTCCAAATTCCCATACCCTGACAAGCGTAGATCAACGCGTACATCTCACGGCGCAAGCGATCACCATACAACAACGGCTGGAAACAATCGCCACTATGGCGCTCAGTAACCAACTCACCGCTGAACCAAATCATCGATATCTTGGTTGAAGTACCAGCGCTTCTCGAAGACCTGGACATCTTCCGAGACACTCTAAATATCGAACTCTATAACTCAATCCTGACTCGATGTCGCACCTGCGAGGTCGAGATATTAGCGTTGGGGTTGAATTTTGGCGAGGCCCTTACTACTTATGACTATACATATACCAGGGAGCCTTTACCGGTACCGAAGAACGACGATGATCTTGCGATTGTCTACCTGAGCTGCTATTATTGGATGACTTGCCTTTTTGTATATTCAACATTGGGCTTCTGCGAACTCGAATCCATGGATATATATGAAAGAAGGCCTATACTGAGTTACCCGAGCCAAAGGATTGCAATGTCTTATGCTTACAAGATTGCTCACGCCATACACCTGCTATTTGACCCTCCAGCCGGGACCTATAGCTCAGTAGCCGTATTCTTCCTGCTTGGGACTGCTCTACGATATCTCATCATGATAGAGACTCACGGCGGAAATAATATCATGAGCAAGGAGAGGATGCTTCTGGTGAACATATTTACCCGACCATTCCTGGGGAGCTTTGTTGGGAGGTTTCTTCAGAACTTACAGGTGGATGATGGTATTGACTATGGTTATCCTCCGGACATTCTCTTAGGGATGAGGGGTATTGAGTATCGAGCCAGAGTCTGGTGGTGCGGATTGCTGCAGGCTGGATTGCCAGAGTTCACACTAGAAGATCCATGTTATCCGTCAAAATGACAATTTGTGTTATGTGTCTTATCATCCTCACTATATATAAAGGAGCCTTCAAGCCATCGTGGCAAACGAGCGTGTTGACCTATTCATCCAGTCATAACATTGTTTCATCGCTTAGCAAATATTCTTCTGAGCATTCCCAGTAATACCCCAGTAAATGTTCTCAGCACAAGGCGATTCCCGAACAGTGTTACTGTTCACCTGAGCCTTGACATAAATACCACTGTTGTTGGGGAACTCGCTTCGAGCTGCGACGCGGACCTCGCCTCCTTTGTTGATGACACCATCGCGAATAGCAAAGTTATAACAGTTCTCAATAAGAATAGCGTTGTTTCCATTGTCCGCGAGATCAATGTTCTTGATCTCAGTGGCACCGGACATGGAAACACAGAAGATGCCGCGACCGCCACCACGAGAGTAGACCTTGTCGATAAAGACGTTGGTGGTGGTGTATTGACCGTTGGCGAGTTGGCCATTGTTGTTGGCGAAGCGAAGGGTAGCATACCCGGTACCAGCTCCAGCATTGATACCCTCGACGTAACCGACCTTGACGTTTCGAGACTCTTGGATGAGGAGACCGCATTCACCGACATCCTTGGCCTTGACGGATGTGATGGTCAGACCGTCAATCTTGAAAGTCTCAACAGCGTGGCTGCCAGCACCGGTAACCACGATATTACCCATAGTAACACCATAATTCCAGTTCGCATCGCGATCAAAACGGATACCAATTCCACCACTAAGATTCAACGTAATATCACCCAACCCCAAGTTCCTCGTCCCCGAGAATCTCAGTCCAAAGTACGGATTACCCGTCATCTTGAGGTACGGAATCTTGACATCGTTCTGGTTAATAGCCTCAATAGCACCACGACCAGATTTGTTGCCAACGTTCATGGTACCGCAGACCTCGAACGTCTTTCCGCTGGTGATGCTGATGGTGTTGGCGCCGATGCTGCCGGATGCTCGGACCGTGACGCGCTGGCCGCTGCTGATGCGGTCGAGAGCCGTTTGGATGGCGAGACGGTAGTCCGTGCCGGTGTAGACGTTTGCGCCGTTGACGGTGGCGGTGAAGGTGCCGGAGCCGGAGACTACGCCTTGTGGGGAGCCATCGCCGCAAGCTGCGGAGGCGGCGGTGATGAGAGCGAGACCGGCGGTCAGGACGGAAGACAGATGCAACATCTTGAAGAGCCTGAGGATAGGGAATCGCTATTTCAGAACTGATCCATTACTGCCTTTATATACGTGAATTAAAGACATAGCAGTGCTCATCTATTCGTGCGCTTTTCCACCACGATGATCCCCCAAACCCGGGGATGATATCTAAATTCGACCATCGCACAAGGATGCACGTCTTGGCGCAGAGGGGTACGTGATGTTCCATGTCAATAACGAGATGCCATTTCGGGTCACGCGGAAGTTTAACCTCCGCAGGGGACGCAGCGATTCATAGTCTGGGGTATTCTCCCACCTATCACACCGGAGGAATATGAAGATTACCGGGAATAAAGTACATTAGCCTGGGGGCTCGGCACTTATTGTCGAGAAGTCTGTCGGAAGGTTGATTTTTAAGCTTGAATTATTTTCCTGAAGTGGTTAGAGGTTGGGGATTAAGCTTGGTATGTCGCTGTCAAATACCCCGAAGAACCGAGTTGTAAATACTCAATGATCGTCTCTTGGTATTAGATGTTTGTCAACTTTCCCCGTTGAATCTAACCTAGCATTGGATTGACCACGAGAGCTCTATTACTCTTGCGCTGCCTACCGACGGTAGTTGTGTACAAGGTAAATATTGTTAGGCCACAATACGAGTTACGTTTACGGAGTAGTTAGGTGCGATTTCCAAATTGCATGCACTCCAGATATGCATATAGTGGTGGCATAACCCTTGTATATATGAATATTCACGGTCATCCGTGCGGCTGAGCAAAAAGTCAGGCTGTGCGTTTTGTAGTTTCAGCTCTTCCCCTCATTTTTGCTCCCTGTCCTATGATCATCATTATCACATTTTTGCCTTGAAGCGAAGACACCCAAAGGTACTACTTCCAAAGCGCCGTGGGAATGGCTTCATTCGAGACTTCGCAGTCTTGGCTGCCTAAGCGACAACGCGTTGAGAGCGGGGATGGCGCTCAGTCCTTGCAGTACGATGATTACACAGTCGGATGGATCTCGGCTCTTCCGCTTGAGATGACAGCTGCTCAAGCTATGCTAGATCACGGATATGAGCCACTTCGCCAGCATCCACAGGACAGCAACTGTTACGAATTTGGAAGTATAAATGGCCATAATGTCGTTATCGCTTGTCTACCCAAAGCCCAGTACGGCAACAACAATGCGGCCATTGTTGCGAATAACATGAATAGGACTTTTCCTCACCTCCAACATCGTCTGTTGGTTGGTATCGCCGGTGGGGCACCCGGTGCAGTTGACGTACGCCTCGGAGATGTCGTGGTCAGCACAGATGCCATACAATACGATCTGGGGAAAGCCTTGCCCAACAATCACTTTCAACGAATTGCGAAAGCCATAAGTCCTCCCCAGGCATTACTGACGGTCGTTTCAAAGCTTGAGGCCAGCCATATAGGAGGACAAAATCGAATGCTCGAGATTCTGGCTGAGAGTGTGGCTCGCCTCCCCCATTACTCCAACCCAATGGTTGAAGATCGCCTCTTCCGCCATGAGTGCCCCCATACTTCCTCAAATTCAGACTGTGATCGGTGTGACATATCTCAGCTTATAGTCAGGACGGTTCGTCAACACACTGGGCCCGTGATCCACTATGGCCGCGTTGCGTCAGGGAACCAAGTCATCAAAGATGCACTTACTCGAGACAAATTATCGAAAGAGATTACCAACATTTGCTTTGAGATGGAGGCAGCGGGCGTAATGGATACCTTTCCTTGCCTTGTGATCCGTGGTATTTGCGATTACTCAGATTCTCATAAAAACAAGGGATGGCAGGAGTACGCAGCTTTGGTAGCCGCAGCTTATGCCAAAGAACTTCTGATGTCGATGCCCCCTACACTGTTGCAGTCACGGAAGCGAGCGAGAGTTCAGGAACACAAAGTCTCAGAGCTTATCAGTTCTGACGCAGATGAATGTCTGCAAGCAATGTTTGTCACAGATCCTTCACTGGACCGCGAGAACATTCTCGACGCAAAGGGCGATATCTGTGAGGGTACTTGCAAATGGATCCTAACGACAGATACATTCCAGCGTTGGGATCAGAATCCTCCCCATCTGCTCTGGATATCTGCACCACCTGGCATGGGCAAAACATTCATGTCTATTTATCTCTCAAAACACCTTGAGTCCATTTCCAAGAAAGAATTTGGCGTGGCCACTATTTTCTTCTTCTGCGATAATAAGGATGAATCAAGAAACACGGCAGCTGGCATTCTCAGAAGTCTCATGTACCAACTCATTTCGCATCAACCAAGTCTCATCAACACAATTATACCGCAGTGGAAACAACGAAAACAAGGACTATTTCAAGAGACCTCATTTGCTAGTCTATGGAAGCTCTTTGAATACATTATTGCCAAGTCAGAGTACAAGACTATATACTGTGTTATAGATGCCCTCGATGAATGCGAAGCCAAGTCTCTGTCACTCCTGCTCCGAAAGTTTGAGAGACTTAGTCAGGGACACTTAGACTCATCTCCTAAACTAAGGCTCGTATGCCTCAGCAGGAGATATCCAGAGAACATACCTGAAGCTCTTTTGCTGTTTTCAAAGATGGAATTAGATACCATGGATGCTAGACAAGAGGATATTAATCAGTTCATCTCGTTTCAAGTCCAGGGACTCGCCCAAAAGAAGGGCCTCAGCCGTGAGATGTGGTCTAGTTTGAAAGATACTTTCCAAAAGAAATCTGAGGGAACTTTCCTCTGGGTCAGCTTCATGGTTCAAGATTTGCAGAAACAGAGATTGCTTGATTTTGAGGCATCTCTGGAAATGCTACCAGTTGGATTGGATGCAGTTTACGAGCGGATTCTGCGAAGTATCGACTTTGAAAAACGGGGAATGGTTCGTGGCATTCTCTATTGGATCCTCGTCGCTAAGAGCCCTTTAACGATACCCGAGCTGTGCGAGGCAGTCGATATAGGACCTCAGGGGTTCTTGACGCGCGAAAATGTGTGCATGGAGCTAGTCAAGTCTTGTGGGCATTTACTCCAGATAAGGAACAACCGCAAACGATCCTACACGATACAGACCGTGACATTTCTCCACCAAAGTGCAAGGGATTACCTTATGGAATCCGATCGGGTGCTCGATTTACATATACCAGGATCTTCCCTTCCCCAACTGCACGAGTACGCCACAATTGTTCTGATAAGATACCTCGAAAAGATCAGTAGCCACCCTGGCATTGAAAGTAAATCACCCGATGACATAGCGAAGGATTATCCAATGGCCAATTATGCTGTCGAAAAGTGGTTTCACCACTTCGATACACTACAAGACATTACTCAAGTCATGCAGCAAGGCGCGGGGTTCTTTGAAGGAGATTCAAAAGCCAGGCAAGTGTGGCAAAATCTCTACGATTTCGACGATGACTATGAAGATCCTTTCCCCATACCCTTGTTACATTTGTCTGCTCGTTTGTCTCTAAGCGGATTGACCGAGTGGTGTCTGAGAAGTGATGGAGAACTCGACCTCGATGCTGAATGGGGTACTTTTCAATATACGGCGCTTGCCGGTGCTTGCGAAAAGCAGGAGGAGCACATTATAACTTTACTCCTTGATGCAGGCGCCAATGCCATCGTCGCCCGTTGTTGTCACACCAATGCTCTTGAAGTAGCTTTGTCCTACTGCGGCAGACATGTCTTGCAAATCATGGCACAATCAGAACCCTGCAAGGAGTTTTTACTCGACAAGGCTTCCAAAGAAGACGGCAGCTTACTCGAAGTTGCTGCCTTGAATAAGAATGAGGATGCGTGCCGCTTCTTAATAGAGGATCTTGGATGGGATCTTACCTGGCAAAACGGGAAATTTGGCCAGTTGGCCCTGTATTCTGCCTTAGAAATTGGGAATTTCAATGTTGTCAGCTGTCTTGTCAAAGAGTGGAATGTTCCTATTGGAGACCACTCAGATAAACTCAAAGCGGCTTGTTCCCTTATGACATCAGCACATGAGTTCGAGCAATGTATACGATTCCTAGTTGATCATTGTTTCGTTAACATCAATGCCACAGACGAGGAAGGTCACAATGCTTTATGTGCCATGTTCCGAACATGGGATCCTTCGACGCTTTCCAGGACAAAAATATTATTACAATTTGGCTGTAGACCTGACCAGCCTGATAGGCTCGGTCTAACACCTATGCACTGCCTTGTAATAAAAAACTCTCATTCTGAGGTACCAGACTTGTTGGAAATCATGGAACTTTTAGTCGGTATGAGCCAACACGGTCTCAACCAAGTGTGCTTAAAGGGACAGACGGTATTGCACTACCTCATCCTAGGTTTACCAGACTTACTGGTGCAGTCACTTAGATCTGCAGATGGGCCTTCCCCTTCTTTGCTGCTCGTGGCAGCAATGAACTTTCTGAACTGGGGTATTGACCGACACATTCGAAGCAGTAACGGATGTACTAGCCTGGATATTTTACGTTTCATTCAGGCCACTATTGACCATGAATGGAAAGGAGAATGGGAGGAACTTACGAAGTATATGAATGAAACTATTGTAGTACTTGAGAGATACTCTACTGTTCCTAAACATTAGGACAGGAGCTGAACATAGCGCAGATGTGGCCATTTATCGGCCAATCTCTCCCGCAGGGTTACGAAGTTGAATTCTTATAAGTGTTATTCACTGATTTGAGGGTAAGACAGTGCTGCACTGCTATTTTCTATTCAAAACAAATGACTATACACCAACTTCTCGGCACTAATAGAACGCATGTACTCCTCCGGTCTCTCGATCCTCGACCTCTCACTCACTGATCCAGTACCCAGAAGAGAGAAGCCGTCCTGGACAACCCTTTCAAGACCTCCAGGCATTATTCTCACCGGATTGGGCTCGAGCTGTGCTATGTCTGATGTAAGTGGCTGACTTAAGAAGTTATAGAACTCCTTTGCGAAGGCATGCGCATCTGGATTAGCTGGGATGACAGCGCCTAATTGAGATAGTTAGCATGTAGCCGAACTTGTAAGCGATTTGGAGAACCATGACGACCCACTTACCATTATATCCAACTTCAACACCAAGACCCTCCCAGACAGCGCCATAGGTAGGTTTGATAGCTAGTAGTGCTGGATCATATTGCCCACCAACTGGGCCGCGAATGACTGCGAACTTTGCCGAAGGAGCCAGAGTCCCGTGGGTTTTGTACACTGTCGGACCCTCCGAGATACAGTCCAGCGCAAGGTCAACGCCGTTCCTATTCGTAGCCTGCTTCACATTTTCAACCCAGTACTCATCTCTATAGTCCACAAGGACATCATAACTATAGGGCTCATTCCGAAGCATATCGTGCTTAGATGAACTGGCTGCGCCTATCAGCCGGGTAGACATTCCAGATACCCTGGCAGCGATACGGGCGAGTTGTGCAGCATATAGTCCAACCGAAGTCGATGATCCATAAATGAAGAGGTTGGTGATTTTGCTATGGCCTCCGGACGTCGATTGCGACGCCGAGGAAAATGGAGATGGCAAGCCAAGACGACCGAAGAGAGCTTGAGCAGCGGTCAAACCGCACATGCTGATTGTCGAAGCTTCTTCGAAAGTCAGACTGTCGGGGATCTTCCACACGAGATCATAAGGGACGACTATAAATTCTGCAAAAGCTCCAGGACGATCATTCACGGATGAAGCTATCTTCATCAGTCTCTTTTCAAGTAGTTAGTAGTGAAGTACGTACCCCCTTGGAGAAAACCAGCAACCCGTGTCCCGACTTTGACTCTGGGATCAGATAAATCAGTGATCTCGGATCCAGCTTTAACAACAACGCCAGCAAAGTCAGTGCCGACAACCCTCTTCTCTTGAGCTGCAATTGGTGACGACACGTAGAGTTCATCTACTGGGTTTAGCGCTATGGCGCGCACATTGACAAGAATCTCGTTGGAACCTGGTGTTGGGCGATCGACATCTCCCACGATTGCCGTTTTGAGGGATGTATTTAGAACAAGAGCTTTCATTATCGCTATGGATAGTTTTGGATTTGATATTGGCTTCAATATGATAGACTGAGTGAATCATAAGCCCTTTATGTATTTACTCCAGCTTATAAATACCGGATCTGTCAGCTGGCAGCTGATTATTAATAGATCAGCCTATGGACAAACAACCTTGATGTTGTCAAGATTCGGATCAAAGTTTCTCCGTCTTGGAATGGTTGTCCTTTGAATTCCTAACCAACACAACACTTACTCTTCGCGTGTTCCAATAGCTGAAGCTGCCTCTAAGATAGCATATGGAATCATCTGTTTTAAGTTATAGTTCATTAACTATATGACAGATAATCCTACTTGCGAAAGTGATTACTTAAAGGTCAATCGTAACGTTGCCTAAAATAGAATCACTTACTAATGATGGCTATCTTGACGTATTAAGGTTTCTCTCCTCCAACTTGCTCTAATTTTTTTCACAAAGCCAATATCGACCAGCCTTTGCTATTCCGGTTCGTCATGCCGCTCACCTCTATTACCATCATCATCGCTCCCTATCATGTAGGACTTTACGACCACCGTGTTGGTGGGGGCCCACTGCGCATCATGTACCACGGTATTGACAAAGAAGTCTCCAAATTGGCGCCTGTGTCTTTCATCAACAAATACTAAGTGTAATTTCCAAGTAACGACGTGATCCATTATCAATTAGGAGGTTGGGGAAGTGTCTGGGCGTGGTTAGACTTTTGGCGCTCTGCTGTAGTAACCCTCTCTTTCCCCGCTCGTCATCATCGGAATATCACCCTGCTTCCAGCAGTTTCTTTCTTACAACCCCGTCACGTTAAGATCACATCCTAGCATATCTATTATAAGCCCCAAAATGGTTAGTCTGGCCTCCCTCCCACGAGATGTTCTCCTTGAAATCTTCTCCTACTTTTGTCTGCATTGTCGAGGCGACCTAAGACCTCTCAAGGGAGTCGGAACCCCGCACCAGCAAAAACGGCGGTGCCGTGAACCTCAGCAACCTGACCAAAAGTCATGGTACTCGGTCGATAAATATACCCTGTTCTCCCTGGCGGCCTCTTGCAAATCACTGCATGCTGTGGCAGAGGATATTCTATACCATGACTTTGCACCTGGCTATGGAGACTCTGAGTTGTCCGAGCTTTATACCTTTGGCAACAGACTGAACCAATTCATGCGCACCGTTGGATCACGCAAAGACCTCGCTGGCAAGGTTCGCTTCCTCTTTGTTCATCCAAAACACTCCAACGGGTCTGTGAAACGAATCGTCCTGTCTTTGAAGCAGGGTGCCGCTGACCTCGGCATCGACATTGCCCAATCTTGGCGGTACCGGGCAGAGCACTTTATGAAGTCTTGGACGCCTGAGCAGATGCAAGCATGGGGAGTACAGCACGAGTATCAATTCATGCTCAATTCAGCCTTCACTGATGAAATCTTGGAGTATCCACTCCTAAGCACCCGTCAGCATTATCTTGAAAGGGGTTTGGACCGTTTAGTTTCGAAAACATACTCAATAACGGCAAATAACCTGTACAGATCTCTGCACCACGAGCTCATACCTATGCTGATTGCAATGCTCCCCAAGCTGAGTCACATTATTTACACATCCAAAACGGTATTTGAAGAATTTCAACACACCGCTTTTGACGATCTAGGGGTGACAAAGCTTCCGCATCTTCGGACATTGGAGTTGGATAGGGATCTGTTTTCCATTTTGAAGCGGGCACCGAACTTGGAGCAGCTTGACATCATAGACTCCTTTTCTTCAGGAACGGATCAAGGTCCAGGAGGTGACCAGTCCATGATCAGAACCCTCCGGTTGGAAAACACATCCTTGCCCGCAGAGCTCGGCAGACGACTATCTTTCGCAGCCAAAGACCTTCGGTCCTTCGTTGTTGAGTCTAGTGGGGCATTCCCACGGCGCTGGGTTCCTGCAGATGCTTTTAGGAAGTTATGTGATTATCGGCACAGCTTGGAGACATTACACTTGGATCTTCGCTGTGCGAAACTCATCTCTCGCCCCGGCCGTCGCGACAGCACGTTCCGAGACTTCGGGAAGCTTCAACACGTCTTTTTGAACACGCGACTTATGTTTCACATTTCACCTGAACGTTGTTCGATTACTGGATTATTACCGCCGTCAATCGTATCGCTGCACTTGGCCTGGGACGGTCTAGAGTTGGATCCAAATGAATGGGGGGACTTGCCGTTGAGATTTGTGGATGAGAGCGTAAAGCAGCAAAGAGAACTTAGTCACTTAGGACAGGCTTTACTAGAGCTTGCTAGTGTCAAGGCTGAACGCTTTCAAGATCTGAAGCATATTGGCATTGACTGTTGGGACAAGGTGGATGCAGCTGTCCAAAAGGCCTTACTTGAGGCCGGTATTGGGTTTGTGCCCGAAAGTTGGCCATCGGCTTATCAGAAATGAGCTAGGTGGGGAAGATGATGAAGAATGGATGGGTTATGGGATGCCATCATGCAATGAAGCTGTAGTTCATTCTGTTTTATAGATGTAAAAGTTATTAAGAGTATTATATATCTATTTCAGAGCACACTTCATAACTAATGATAATTGGCAGACATAAATAATATTTTTAGAGGCTTTATAGTACCAAGTGGTAGCACCACCTCCACGGTATCTCGGTTCTTTAGTTCTGTTTATAGGTCTCTACTCTAGTAAGATTCAGTCTACTAATAAGAAATCTTCCAAGTAGGGTGGCCAGAGGTTTGAACTGATAGCGGCAATCGTCTTCAAAACATTTATATCCAGTGACAGGCAGAGAGGGGAACAGAGAGGAGTAGTGCCCCATGAGTCGAACTAATATAAGCGACCCTCGAGCGGAGTGCAGATTAGGTTCTAGAACAATAGCTTGTTCTCTTTGACATGAATTTGACTTAGGCCGGTCACTGACCCGACTTCTTCTCGTTCGATCCTCTTTGCCAAGCCAGCTAAAGACACGCGAGCCCTCGTTAAAAACTTCAAGTTGTTATCTGATCCATCGGATAAGATATTTGTTATCAGATGATCCATCCGACGTTGAAGAAGCATAAGACTAGTTGAACCTTAATCGTTTAGCACGTGGAAATTCGCGCAACGGACCCAGCTGTCAACTTTATCGCCCTATGGCAGCACACCAGTGACGCCTAAAAGTCGTTTTAGCTTGCCAAGGGAGGCTGAGAAAGAAGCTTAAAAGTTAGTGCTTCTAGCTTAGAAGACGTAAAAGTGCAGGCTGCGGAACGGTGCCACGGAAGCGGAAATGGAAGAATATAAGGGTATTTGTGGTCATATAAAGATGGGATCGTCATTCTTCAAGAGATCCTTCATTCAAGCTCCTTTCCATCGATATCAAAGAGTTTTGTCTTTGTCACGATGAGTGATCAAAAGTCTGCGAAGCCTGAGGCTTCTTCAACTCTGACAGAAATGGCTCCTGAGCCAGCTCTCGACGCCGTCAAAGCTGAAGATGCTGTTTCTGTCTCAATCAATCAGATCGAAGACGACCGACCCATTGTCCCTATGACTTGGCGGCTTGGTTCCGTCCTTCTTATCTGTCTCATCAGCTTTGGCGCTTCTTGGTCTGCTCGTTTAACATCCTCACTTAAGAGCACCATCAAGAAGGAATTAGACATCAACAACACGCAATTCGCTCTACTTGAAGCAAGTGAGGAGTTCTTAGTCACGTTATTGATGATGGCCTCTGGTATTCTGACAGACCGCATTGGCGGCGCGGGTAAGTTTTGTTGATATGTCCCCCACTTGCTAGCTTTGGCTCATTCGTGTAGGTGCTATGCTCTACGGAAACTTGATCATGACCGCCGGCGCTCTCGTCATCGCGGGAGCAGCGACATGCAGGTCCTTTCCGCTCATGATCTTTGGCAAAGTCACGGCTGCGTTGGGCGATATAGCCACTCAGATCGCGTACTACAGAGTATTCGCTGGATGGTTTGCTCCAGGTGGAGGCTTTGGTACTACTATAGGTCTTCAAATCGGCATCGCTAGAATTGGCGGATTTGTTGGAAGCTCCACCGCCAACGTCATTTCCAAGGTGAGAGATTTCTGATCCTCTATCAGAAAGACACGCCAACTGACTTGCTTGTTTTCTAGAATACCGGGAACTTCGCTTGGGTCTTCTGGATCGGCGCATGAGTTGCCTTCTTTACGAACCTGTGCACCCTAGTGTTCTTCGTCTTCACGAAGATCGCACATAAGCGTTTCCGCCCACCTCCCGATCCAGCGACGGGTGAGGCACTTGTTGAGAAGAACAAGAAGTTTGACCTTAACAAGATCATCCAATTGCCATGGGTATTCTGGGCAATCATGCTTTTCTCGATGGTGCAGACCAGTTGTTCTAACATCTACTCTCAAAATGCTACGGAACTCGCTGAGCATCGTTTTGGAGTGGATGCTGTGGCGGCTGGTTGGTATGCTTCCTTGTCGCAGTATGCTGGTAAGCTATCTCCTTCAGTCATCTAAGCTAACAAAGTTGTGAAACTGATCATGATCTGCAGGCTTTTTCCTTAGTCCATTGATCGGAGCAGTCATCGACACTTACGGCCACCGTGTAACGCAAATGGCTATCTGTGGCACTGGCATGCTCTTATCAATGGGACTGATCAACTGGAGCAGTACAACCAGCGGCGCGGCGGCTTCCTATGCGTTCTACGCCATTTTTAAGACATTCGGCCCTGTGACGATCATCTAGGGTATTCGAACGAGTATGTGGCATCAAGATGTTTTTGGTACTGCATATGCTGCCAAGGTGACAATGAACAACGCGTAAGCCAACAGCACTCCTCCACAAAAGTCATAAGAGCTGACACCAGAGTCAGCACCAACATCATCATCCGTATCATCACCGGCGTCATACAAGATGCAGACGACGGTTCTTACGACAGAGTCACCATTGTATACGTCTTCCTCGCCACCGCCTCCACCGTTATATCTCTAGCAATGCTGCTCGGCACTTTCTGGGCTCCTGACCTACGAATCCTGCAATTCTCACGAAAGCAGCGAATCTTGCGTGGAGACCTGATCAACGAGCGCAAGGCAAAGAGCCAAGGACCCACGGGACATAAAGCGAGAATGATCAGCAAGGTCTGTTTCGTGGCGCTGTTTGTGTATGTGCTGGGAAGCTGGGCGGCTTGGATTTGGGGAGCTGCAACGGGTCATAATTAAAATTCGAGAGCGGCTGCAAGATAAACCAGGAGGATTGTTTCTACAAGAAAGGTCAAGGTTCATGAATCGTGGCTGCGGAAGCTTGATGCGGGACCGCGGGTTAGTCTGCGGAGCCGCACGGATGTTGGCCGATATGTCACGCACTGCAGCCCTGCAAGGACGAGCTCAGGCATCGTCAATCAGGGCCGATAGCATCGTTTCTATTCAATGACTCGCTCAGTCTAATCTATTTACGCTCGACCCTCAACAATCTTGACGATTAATTCTGCTGTCTCCTTCGTCTTCTCCACGAACGGACTATGACCTGCCGCCAGCCTTGCAGATCTCATCCCAGGCGTTGACTCAACAAGCCTTTCTTGAAGAGGCAATAAGATAAGCTGGTCATTTTCGCAAATGATATATGTCTTCGGGATAGTAATATCCGAAGCGATAAAGTTCAGGCTCGTCTCAAACGCATCCTGGGAATGCGGCTCCGTAGACTCCAAAGCTTTATCTATCGCGTCCTCGGTACAGCCACTGTACACACTCTCCCTCGCCCCCTCCGCCATCGCAGTAATTTGATTCTACAAGCTATTAGCGATATGATGCAAACGCTTCGGTCTTGCTTACCTTTGTATACTTCTCACCCGCCTGCAACCACGGCGGATAAGCCCCACCAAACGTGGTGATAAGATCCCAGCCCTTGACCGGGATAGCAAATGCAGCTAAGAAGATAATCGAATGGAATCCACCTTTCAAGCCGCGCTTCGCACGCTCTTGTGTGCCTTGACCTTCAGTCGCGGCAGTAGCGGGAATGCCGCCGTAGGAATGAGCGATTAGAACGACTTCGCGACCTTGGTTGAAGAAAGGTTCTGCGGTTTCGATTATCTTGGCTTTGTCTGCTTCCCATGTGACGCCGTGGCTTTCAGGGCCTACGGAGGGGAGCTTGGGGATTATGCATTCGTAGTTGAGGTGGGTGAGGGCTGATTTTATGGCGTCGTAGCATTTGGGGGGATGCCATGCTCCGTGGACGAACAGTAGAACTGGTTTTTCGCTCATCTTCAGTATTGTTCGCGGTTGTGAAGTGATGTGGCTGGCTGTTTCATATCACAAAAGAGACCAAGCACACTTCTTATAATTAGCCACAATATCATGATGCACGCTCTGCAGAAAACAGCTCATGAAGCAGTCCACGTGGATCCCTCGTAATACATCCCTGTCGCCACCTCCATCCCTTTGGATCCGAGGGAGCACCACTTAGGTACCTCTGTGAGGTCCTGCCAATAAGGAAGCCAGTATTAAAGGGACTTAAGCTAATTAGTTATTAGCACTAAGACCTAGGTACCCTTAATAATATAGTCTGCTGATTGTGACCTCTATCCTCACTGCTGTGCCTTTGAGGCTGGTATTTATGGCGTAAAGATCTGCAGCCAATCAATAGTAGAGCATGCCCCATAACAATACTTAACTGGTGCTCCCTCGGATCCAGAGGGATAGAAGTAGAGGCTTGACTGACGGTTCAGGGGTAGTGAGGTGAGGTTCTGCGGCTGCAAATCCTTCAATGGGTCAACGTTCGAGTTAGAGTTTGCACCCCTGTCTTTCCGCACACTAACACCGCGAGTTTGGTTCGAGACCCTTGATTTTGCCTTATAGGGTTGCATTCGCTGCGGGTTTTGTTCCTGTGAATGCCGTGGACCCGCGTCTGCCGCGTTATGTTGCATTGATGGATGAACGAGTCAAGAATCAGCTGTTTCAATTCTCTTTATAATTCTAGTCCTATTTTGGTCATGGCAAGTCCAAACTGTACTTCATGCTTCGCTCCCGGGGTTCGTTCCTAGCTGTTTCCGTCATTGAGTTTCTTTGCTAAAGCATCATTATTACCGTCGGCAATATGTCTGGCAATAACTCGACTTCATCTCTTCCGCCTGAGATCTTGAACCATAATGAAGGACCCTCTCTTATCATTGTGAGCGCTGTGTCGATACCCTTCGCGCTTGGCGTTGTGGCTATCCGGGTATGGGCTCGACATCGCAAGCGGATGGCCCTTGAACGTGACGATTTCATGATACTGCTGTCGCTAGTGAGTTCGCACTGCGTCTTTTTTTTCAGGAGCAGACTACTAATCAGCGCACTAGCCGTTACTATGGGCGACTGCTGGTGTCGCAATTGCCTGTAAGTTTTTCGCTACCGTCCGTCATTATTTCTGTGCACGAGACTTACGATAGAAATAGCTGTGACGTATGGGGGAGTCGGGAAACCATTGGCAGTCAACATGATGCAAGACCCAAACCGTCTCGGGAGAGCTCAATTAGTAAGTGACAATCCCCATCATCGCTAGACTCCATATTCTAACAGCGTTACCCTCAAGTGTCTAGTCTTAACCGAATTCGTCTACGGCACAGTCCTCTGCACCATAAAAGTCGGCATCCTCCTAATGTACTACCGAATCTTCCCCACGAAGTCCATGCGAATCGGGGGCTACATCCTCGGCGGGATGACATTTTCATGGTGGATAGGCATCATCTTCGCTTCCATCTTCCAATGCTCACCCGTCGACAAAGCCTGGAAACCGTTTATGAAAGGGGGCACTTGCTTGGATAAGAATAAATTCTTTATTGGCAACTCGATCCCGAATATTGTTATGGACGCTATGATTATTGCGTTGCCGGTCTTTGAGGTGTCAAAGGTCCAGGTGCCTAGATCGCAGAAGATTGCGATTGCGGGGATATTTCTGCTTGGTGGATTGTAAGTTTTGGATGAACTGAAAGTAGGCATTTGCTTATTTCGTACAGAATCGTGATCATTAGTTGCATTCGGCTGAAATACATTGTGGCGCTCCTCCAAGCCGGTCAAGAAGCAGACTTCACGAGTAAGTACCTAATTCCTTTCGCTGTCGATAAACACCATACTAGCCGACATACACAGAACTCATCTCAACTCCCTGGATCTGGACAGTAATTGAACCATCCGTCGGCCTCCTCTGTGCCTGTCTCCCAACAATGCAACCACTATTATACGTCCTCTTCGGTCGCTTCATTACCAAAACTACACAGGATCGTAGTAAAGAAGGGATCATCACCATTGGAGGTAGCGGCCAAAAGTCAGCAGACAGACAGAAGGGTCCTGTCAAGGATGGACCGTTTCGCAGACTACATGATAATGATTCGGCTGAGGAGCCTGTTTTGTGGCCGGAGACGTATCATAATCAGCATAATACTGTGGTGGAACACTCGAAGGGTGTGGCTGTGGATGAGATTCCTCTAGGGACGATTGCGGTGAAGAAGGATATACGGTGGGAGGAGTCGTAAAGACCAGTCACATGTTGAGGAATAGTTTTAAATTACCGACAGTTGTTTCAGTTTATCATAATTGAGGCGTTTCTGGAAACCGTCAGAGACTTGTTCTTTTAAAGTAAGTACTTACGAAGCTGCAACTGCATAATGACCAGTTAAACCCCCATTCATTTTGTACAGGTACAAGTGATGAGACACTGCTCAGTGCTCACATAGTAATGACGCCCGCCGAGGATACATATAGTTAGTGTGGTATCACGAAACTGAAACTCTGTCTGTCCCAACTTACTGGCTCAATTATGTGTAATACATGGTATCGCAAGGTGAACCAACCTGTCTTGATCTGATGACGGTAGAATACCCTACATTCCCTGAACCCCCTGTAGCTCCCCCGCAATCTCCGATAACCAGTGGATTCTCCCCACAACCACTATCGCCCTTATCGTCCCCCGACGGCCGATTACACCCAGCCAATCAAACAACCTCACCAAACCAATAGCATATCTCTATCCGCCGTCTTTAGATCAACATCAACCTCAAAATCCACCTTCACCCCTTTCCTCATGTCGAACTCATCACCCTTCCATCTTCTCCACCGTGTATTCTCAGCAATATGAAGAATCACGACGCTGACTTGGCCCGCGATGCCGCTCAACTCGCAGCGCTAGGCCACAAACAAGAGCTAGAACGAAATTTCTCCTTCGTCTCTATGCTCGGTCTTGCGTTTTCAATTCTCAATTCTTGGACCGCCCTTGCGTCGAGTTTATCTGTGGGCTTGCCTAGCGGTGGTCCTACAGCTGTTATTTGGGGCCTTGTCACAGCTGGAGTGGGGAGTCTGTCGCTTGCTGTTTCGAACGCCGAGTTTCTTTCTTGTTATCCTACCAGTGCTGGACAGTATCACTGGGCAGCGATTATATCGCCACCGAAATGGGTCGCTATTGTCTCGTGGGTTACTGGCTGGGTTAATGTCAGTGGATGGGTCGCTCTATCTGCTTCTGGTGGTGTTTTGGGTGGACAGTTGTTTCTTGGTATTATTACCATGTACGACCCCGATTTCGCACCGACGAGATGGCAGTATTTCTTGCTGTTCCTCTTATACACATTCCTCGGGTTCTTCCTCAACTTGTTCTTCGCTTCGGGATTGCCGATGATGACAAAGATTGCGCTGATCTGGTCTGTCTGCGGTCTCCTCGCTACTACTATCACCGTCCTGGCCACCAGTGCCCCTGACTTCCAGCCGGCTAGCTTTGTCTTTGGAGAATTCATCAACTCTACTGGCTGGCCTGGTGGTGTCGCGTTTCTCTTGGGTCTGTTGCAAGGTGGTCTTGGTCTTACTGGCTTCGATGCCGTTGCGCATATGATCGAGGAGATTCCCCAACCCTGCATTCGTGGACCTCGCATTATGGTAGCTTGTGTCGCTATGGGTCTGGTCACAGGATTTGCCTTCCTTGTCTGTCTTTTATTCGTCATCAAGGATGTGGATGCGGTTGTCGCCTCCCCAACTGGCCCTCTCGTCGAGATCTACCTTCAAGCGACAAACAGTAAGGCCGGCACTGTTTGCCTGCTCCTCTTCCCCATGATCTGCCTTGTCTTTGGGACCCTGGGTATCATGGCCACAAGCACTCGTATCCTTTACGCCTTTGCTCGTGATGGAGGCTTGCCCTTCTCCCGAGTGTTCGCCAAGGTTGACCAACGATGGGGCATTCCGGTCAATGCGCTCTTGCTCACCAACGCGATCGTCATCATCTTTGGACTCGTCTACCTTGGATCTACCAGTGCCCTCAACGCCATTTTGTCAGCAGCAGTTATCGCTCTCTCCATCTCATACGCCGTCACCCCTGCCATCAACTGTCTCCAAGGACGAAAAGGACTATTGGACAACCGACCTTTCGTGCTGCCGGAGTGGCTCGGCTGGATCTGCAATCTTGTAAGTCCACCCCAAGCAAATACTCGCGGTTTTGGATTTTACTAACCCTTAATCTAGGTTGGCATCGCCTATACCATCGTCATCACCGTCTTCCTCCTCTTCCCTCCCGTTAGCGATGTTACAGCCTCCAATATGAACTACGCCGTAGTAGCATTCGCTGCTATTATAATTGTTTCTTCGATCCAGTGGTTTGTCGATGGAAGACATAATTTCAAGGGCCCTACTCTTGACGAAGACGCCCTGTTTGTGAGCGGAATCGAAGAAGCCGGCGGTACTAAGATTGGGGATGACAATGACTCGAAGGTCAACAAGATAGATGCAGAGGTCTAAGCTACATATGAAGCGAGTTGTGTTGTATTTTATTAGTTTATTCAAGATAGAAGATTTGCCATTTCTACCTGGAACCACGCTTTTGATCTTGTCTCCAGACTGGACTTCGTCGTCTCCAATACGTTCACAGTCCAGTAACTTATTTTATGATGTAAATGCCTCCGAAAATATGGCAATGCATCGACTCATTTCTTTTAAATACTGCTCCCCCCCAAATTTTAAGATGTAACACTTGAGAGATTATCAACGTGGGCAGGCTGGGAATGCATCTATCGTCATGGCACGAAAATGAGGGCAACGACTCGTGATTGACAACTTCAGCAACATTTGCATCACATTGCCGGATTTCCCCGATGAAATGTATCAAGATAACGACAAAATTACCGACCAATGTTTGAAGATGCAAGAGTCAAGTCATACCCCGTGGGGAACAGATCCAGTATCCATCGCTTGGGAATGCTACATCGGGTTTAGTCCCCCGCAATCGCCGTTGACCCAAACCAGAAAGAGAAAGGTCATGCCCGTCGGCCGTCGGCCGTTTTCTTGGCCGCAATCGAGGCCAGGCTGGACAACGGTTTCATTATCTTCGCCACGGTAAATTCTAGGAAGATGAGTTTCTAGATCAGAGTCAGATGACTCAGAGATGAAGCTAGTGGTTTCGTTTCATATCTCCATAATCATTGCTCTACGAACCGACAGTCTAAGACGTATTTCAATCGTCTGCAACAGAGGGGGTTTCTCATCGCCTGTATCACTAGAGTGTGATCCCTATTCAAACACACACAGAGCTTTGACCAAAGATAACATAGTTCAGACAAAATCCTCTTTCTTAAATAAATGTCACAATAAAACAATTCTAGGTTCTTAAAACAATAGTCTACCAGCACCATCAATTCATGCTCAATGCCCTGCAATAAATAACACTCATCCCCATACAAGTACATGCTTCTCTCTGCCTACAAGTTGCCTTACAGACGAGGCTTGCTATCCGCGCAGCAAGAAGCCTCTTCACCCTTCTCGGCATTTGTTAGCTGCGAAGTAAAGTTCTTCCTGCCAGGCACATCGATAGCTGGATTTGCTGTAAAGAAATCAGCAGGCTTGATATGAAGATCAAGGATCTCGACAGGCCTGCAATTGGTTAGCAAGACAGCTTCAACATAATGGCATCTGGCACTTACATAACTGGCCAGTCCTCCACTCTGGGGTTATGAGTAAGACCAAACACACTCCATAGCACAATATCCTGCTGATAAACATCGTCGTTCCTGTCAGCAGCATCCGCTACACCTTCAATTTCCGACACCGACTGCAGCGTATATCTACCCCCAGCATAAAATTCATTATCCCTATGCTTAGTAACCCATAAATGTCTCTGCGCAAATCTCGCCCTCTTCGCCTGCGTAGAATTCGGATCCGCAAGCAACGGCCTCGTAACCGGCGCCAGAATCTTATACCCCACAGGCTGGCCACTAATCGGATTAAGCTTATCCATATTCTGCACCTTGAACGTGCGATCCGTGAAGGGATTGGCGTCAAGGCCTGCTGAGGCTGTTATTGGGGTTGTGACGACCTGGTAGGCGTTGCCGTTGGGGTTGGTGCGGGCGTCGATGCGCATGGGGAGGGATTCTGTCTGGACGAGGGTGTTTTTGTGGCCGTCTATTGCGGGGTCGATGCGGACGCAGAAGATGTGTTGGTGGTTTTGGGCGAGGATGCCGGGGCTTACGACGTTGCCCCATGGTGCGGTCTTGCCTTCTTCTATGAGGACGGACGAGACGATTCCGGTGGCGCGGGCTTGGACTGTGATGGCTCCTGCTTGGTCGAAGATATACTGATGTCGAGTTAGAGGTAATCGCGGTGAAAAGAGGGAGAGCTTACGTTGAAAATGTATTCGTAGTTGGCCAATGTGATGATGAACTGAACCACGAGCTCTCGTCTGCGGGTCACGACAGCTCGGCCAGTGCGCCAGTTTGTATGCTTCCAATTAATTCCGTTGTCTTGCTCATGCAGACAAATGACATTCTTAGTCGTGCGTGCAGTACCGCTGTGATCAACCAAGACACCATCAAAGTACTAAAACCTGGTCAGCATCATGAATTCTTAGGTATCCTCTGTGTCACTCACCTTGATGACACCCAGGCAATCGCACCCAAGCTGCAGATTATTGCAAGCATCGCCCAGCGTTCCATCACCAAAGTCAAAAGCCTGCTTTCGATGGAACGGAGGCCGAGGGTCCGCATAAGGAACAGTCATATCGCTGATAGACAGTCTGTACAGAACACTTCGGCCGTCGAAACGAACATCATGTAGCACCGCACCCTCGCGAGGGTTGAACGTCGCTCGCATACTCCACTTCTGCCAATTGATCACATTCGAGTCCTCAACATTAAAGCTAGGTCCCGAAGGCTGAACAACATTAAGCTCCTTCAAATCCCTGCGTAGACCGCCGGGCAGAAGCTCAGGAACATATTCCGATGGTGTCATGTGGTCGATGTTGACTTTGGCGTAGTCACCCTCAGCGAAGGTATGAGGATCGCTACCTCCGCCGGTAGCAATCTCGTGGATGCGAATGACTTCACGTGTCTCGGCGTCGATGACGGGGATGATGGGGAGAGGGTATCCCCAGAAGTTGCATTCCCGGTTCTTGCTGTCGGCCGCGTATATTAGGGCTTGCATGTGTCGGCGGTTTGGGTCATCAGCTGCGTCGAGACCACCATATGGCCACGGCTCAACGACAACTTCGAAGCCTTGGGGGAGGTTGAACTTGGCGATGCGCTCCTTGAAGACGGTGGAGTCTTGGCAGATAATTCGCACGTCGTCAAGCTCCTCACTACGAACCCGCATTAGTCGCTGCTATCGGTGGACTAAGGTACCGTTTGACATACCTTGTGAAAGCTGCTTGAGCATCAGCGCGGATGGACTCAATATGCTTGATCTTTCTTGTGCTGAGATCAATGATTGCTTCATGCGATTGCGGAGGCTTGCCACCATGAGCAGTATCAAAATGAACTCGTGCCTCACGAGCAGGCCTAGGCGTAGAGCTAGTGACCTTCCCAGCATGCTCAAGATCCAAATACGGCGCCAGGATCTCTTTCGCCGGCTCCTCAAGGTAAATGACCCGGAACTTTAGGACATTCTGAGGATAAGCAGCACGAATAATATCTCTGGCCAAGTTCGTCTCGTCAACTGAGAGAGGAATAAGAGGATGAGTTTGAGACATCTTGAGGTATGAGGATTATTGGAATAGATGGAGATTCTGGGGAAAGACAGAAGAGGAGCGAGGTTGAGGATTTTTAAGCCGCTTGGGACCAGAACTCATGATAACATAACGCCGCCTGGAGCTAGTGTCATGCCAAGATGTGTCGCCCGGCGGCGGATTAGGGCTCTAGCGGGCTTCGCGGGTTGCAAGGCGTAGGGATTAGAAAAGCTAGGCTGCACTTGAGCTAGCTGAAAGTGGGTAATGAAGTGAATTATGCTTAGTTTGACATGATCTGATTGGTAGATCCGATAGCTAGACAAGTTGCATAAATTTGCCCAGATTTGGTATATAACGGACAACGTCGAGATCACCTCGAGCTCTAGAGCTTGCGATCAGATATATTGATTGTCGTTTAAGCTTTTCGGGTGGAAGCTGGAATTCTAGAAAAAGATACTGTGTCCTTATCGTTTGTGTTAACGGCCTGAAGTTTAACCTTATGAGCAGAAACCAGCTGGATAAGTGCTTAGTAATTTGAATTGTAACTTACATAACCTAGAGCTCACAAACATATAATAGCTAAACATATCTCTTCGTCGAGAAGGCCAGATCTAAAATGAAATCACTACAAGACATGAGTGCAGTTTTGTTACCGTACCAAAGTCACTCTAACTACCTCATTGTAGCTAGATTGAGGTCTCTTGAGATTGTTTCTCAAGCTCACTCCAGCGTGACTACCTGAACGTCGCGGTCAACTGGCTTTCTGGCTCGTCCTTTCATGCATTGATAAATCAGTAAATTCGATAGATAAATGCTGTGTGCTCATTTGAGCTCTCGGCCATAAGTCTCAACTGCAGGTAATGCTATGGAGGTAAGACACAGAGCCTGATTTCTAAAAATCAGGCTCGGCTAATGCGCGGACTATCAGATAAGCTCATCCTGCTAATGTTCCGTTTCCTGCAACCGCCCATTGCATATTTGGCACGGCAAAGTCTACAATCAGGGAACGCCGGCATTAAAGATGCATGTCTAAGGAGTGAGAGAATGTTGGTCAGCCAGCCACGCGAAGGAAACGTAACGACACAAAAGACAGAATGGATGCTCATATCATTTCCCAGTCGTCTGACATGGAGATCAGGGTGCGATTACACGGCACAACCAACCAACGTCCAATAGGCATCAAGGCGAAGGTGGCACCACAGCCCAGCTCCTGCAATATTGCGGATACCCTCTAATCTCAACCAATAGGTGGCAAAAGCAACCAATATCACACGCAGTCATCGAAAACTCATATGGGTAAGTATTGCGAGAAGCAAGGGTGGGCGGCTATAGGTACAGCCCAACCCCCAGAAAATCTCACCTCAAGAGCTTTCCACTTCGCCATACCTACCAGCTCAAGCCCAGAATACAACGAATAACAATCTTTTCAATTTATCTATCTGCATTTCTCAATCCAGTGATATCAAAATGGCCGAAACCATTCTAGCTATCATGGCTGACAATGACGGAGGCCTCGACAAGGATTTCCCAGTGCCCGAAGATCCCGGCGATGAAGTAGCGAGGCATCCTGATAGCGACAGTAGCTCTACTGATGAAGGGGACGAAAGCGACAAGCCTAAACCGCTCCCCTTACATGAGAAGCTCCTGGAAATAGCAGAGGCTGAAGAGGAATCTAAGGCAGCCCTTTCCGCAGAGTTCAATTTTTTACTCGTCGAAAGTCGGTCTGAGATCAATACGCGAGACTCAACCGACGCAACAGCCCTCCACGTCGCGATTGAGCATGGTCTCGAAGCTGAAGCTCAAAAACTCATCGAGAATGGAGCGGACACCGGTATGAGCGACAGCGACGGGAAACAAGTTCTCCACCTGGCTTGTAGAGGGGGCTTGACTGAGCTAGTCACATTCCTACTTGGTCAGAGCCCAAACGTCAACACTACATCAAAGAATGGCGACACTCCACTCGCTGCGGCGTGTCGAAATGGCCATGCAAACATCGTTAATCTCCTTCTCGACATGAAAGCGAACGTTAAGACAGCTGATGAGGAAATGTGGACTCCACTACACTGGGCTAGCTGGGAAAATCATGTTGAAATCGTGAAGCGTCTTCTTGATGAGGACACGGATATCGATGCCACTGAGGGGAACGAAAACTGGACTCCGCTCAATGCAGCTGCTTATCGTGGCCACGAAGAAGTCGTTTCTCTTCTCCTTAGAAAGAGCGCCGACCTCTCCATTCCGGACTCATCAAATTGGACTCCCTTGATGACAGCGACGAGAATGCAACATCCCGAAATTGCCAGGACAATCCTTCGCTACAAGGAATCATCTAAAAAGGATTTTCTTGAGATACGTGATGATGGAAACAACACCCCTTTAAGCGTCGCCAGCTACTATGGGTATAATGACATTGCATCTCAACTAATCGACGCTGGCGCAGATTGCAACGCTACAGACAATGATGGTATGACTCCATTGCATTCCGCCAGTTTTCAAAACCATTACCAGATCACTACTCTTTTGTTATCCAAAGCCTCGGAATTTGGCATCGACATTGAAGCAAAGGCAAAAGCAAAGAATGGCAGAACTCCCTTGCATCTCGCAAGTCTCCAAGGCAATGAGCTTATCGTCAAGACATTGCTTCAAGCGAAGGCCTCTATAGATGCCACAGATGACTCGAAACTGACTCCACTACATCTTGCTAGTGGTGCGAAATCAGAGGATAGATGTGACTCAGAACACGACCCGGTTTTACCGGGACCAAGCGGTGAGAATGACACAGATTGGGAGAAACGGAATGCAGAAGCCATGTCTGGACGACATTTAGCGGTCGTTGAGCTTTTGTTGAAGAATAAGGCCAGCCCATGCCTCAAAGCTGCGAATGGGGACACCGCTCTACATCGTGCTGCAGCAACCGGCGACAAGGAGAGAATCGATATCCTGATGAAGCACATGAAATTAGAGGATTTTTCTTGGAAAAACTGGAAAGACAGCCCAGTCCAATCAGCCCTTCGTGGTAGTGATCCGCAAGCTGCCATGGAAGCGTTGTTAGGTGAAGAAAAGGTCAAGACAGCGGCCTTTTGGAAAGATGGTGGACGGATTAATGTCATCAAAGAGGCTATGAAAGCATCTGAACCCCAACACATAGTTGGTCAGATATTCTGTCAGATAGCAGCAAATGATGACACTGCTCCTGAAGGATCCAACAACTGGAGCCCGATCCGATGGGCAGCACACGAAAGGCTTCCCGATGTATTGTCTCAACTAATCGACGAGTCCGGTCCTTCTGGAGACGTGGGTAAGATGGTACATGAAGCCCTACAGGAGACTTCCAAGTCGATAACACTGAAGGAACTTGAGTCCGAGCCGTCGTGCGAAAAGCTTGTACAGGTTTTGTGGATTCTCATCACGACTTCAGAGCGAGTGCCTCTGAACACCCAAGCAATCAGAGACGCCTCGCGTTTTGTACGAGAAAAGACTTCTCCTTCGAAGCCGGTGGACATGGAGGTATTGAGGAGCCTCTCTGCCCTGTTAAGGGTGAGATTGTCGAAACTTGACGATCTCAAAGCTCCAAATGACTCGATTCTCCGAAACAAAAAGTTTAGTTTGAATAAGGACGCCATGTATTGGTCTAAGCAGGGAATGTACGATGGTGTACTTTCGGAAACAAAAGCGCTGGAAACACGTTTTGCGAAATATGCAGAGTTTTCGGACACATTGCAAACTATGGAAAGTCATTTGTCGAAATATGCAGAGTACTACTCCAGGGAGAAACTCAAAAGCATTACCATGTTGAGTACATTGCAAGATATCCTCAAGGACCCCCCTTTTGCACAAATATCTCAAACACATAGGGACGAAGTGGACTATAAACCCCCTGTACCTGAAGCAAGTCATGAAAAGGTAGTTCAACAGGCTGAAGCCACTGTTGTCGGGTTCTTCAAGCGAGAGGGCGAATCCGGAAGAATACGACGAAATCGACCAATACAGGAGGTTGTCTACGATCCAGGACCTACCAATGTCGTTGGGGCTGCTATCAGGAGTCTGATTGACATGACCAAGAGAGGATCGATGCGCTTCAATAGCAAGCTCTACGCTAAGGAGAACCTCAAACTTACCTGGGTACATCTACCGTCGACTAATGTAGGTAAAAGCTATCTATAAATATGGAAGAATCGCTGACTTGGAGCAGATGCTTTGGATGAATGTTCGTATTTTGATCCATTCTACTGTGAAAAGATATGATAATTGAGGAACTAACAACATAATCACCGGCTCACAGGACTTGCTCACAAGTATCATGTCATACGAACAGTACCGTGCCCGCGAGCTTTACGAAGTCAGGTCCTTCTTTCGAGATAGCTGGGTTGAAGTTCCCGATAAAGAGTCACGTTTAAGAATGATGAGACCGCGATCTGTGATAAGACCGATAGAAACCGCGCCTAAACTCAGGTCAGATGAGGGTGCAACTTCTGAATCACTCAAGGATTATGGCGAAGGAAAAGGAGAAGCACATCGAGCAGAGTCGGGAGCAGGGGGGGAGGATGCAGGAGACACACCAAAATTCAAAGCCGCAGTCGCAGACTCAACAGTAGATGAACAGAGAATCTACAAGGACTGGGCCTCTAAACCACATCTGCCTGAGAAAAAGCCGCATCAATTTGTACACGCATCCGCTGTCTATGTTCGTCCAACTTTCTCCATGGCCTCTAGAGGCTAACCAGTGCTATTAGATGCCCTACCTCAGTTACTCAACTCACTGCCGACATTGGAATAACGGGAATCGAGAGCTGAAAGAAGCACATGACCATTATGAGGAACTACAAGAGAAGTACAAAGACAAAGATAAACCACAGCATGGCTCACCCACCCTTGATGAGTGGTACTATCAATTCGCACAGAGCGATCCTGACGCAACGGAAGACCAGGAAAGTAGGAACGAGAATCAGGTAGTGAGTAAGTATCTGAAGCAGGTCAAGGAAGCAGATGATACTACTGATAGCAGGGATACTATTGACCTGGATGAGAATCAGTGGACAGTAGTTCGTGTCAATCAGCTCTGGATTTGGACTATTGCAAAGGGTAGGCTATACCACAATTAAAAACGAGCTATAGGCCTGTACTGACACATAGATCTGAAGATTGGATCATTACTGCTACCTCAACACCATTCGACAACAGCCCCGATGTCCTTGTCGAAGACATTCTCAATCAGTTGAGCAAGCAAGCCGAATACGGTGGCAGTCGCGCGCAGCCTGTATCCGCTGCTGACCTAGTCCCTGTGATTGTCGATCATTGCATCGGCTCGTATGAGAGGAGGCCTCTCGATAATCAGCGTATATCTATTGGCCAAACATTCTCTCATTACATCAACAGAATTGTAAGTTGTGGCAATACCTCTACAGTTCAGTTATTGACACTTTAGAAGGGAAGGAAGGAAACAAATCTATTTGAGGGCTTCCGCGTGTGGTCATTAGACGAAAACCGAAGGAAGAACACAAACAACAAAGCTTACAGACGATCTCCGGCTGAGAACCTGCTCCAGTATGCTAAAGATCGCAAAGTTGAAGAGGCCCCTTCAAGCAGCAGAGACGACACCGCGGGGACTAAGCAGACGAGCCTTCAGCCACACAGTCGGGACATCAGTGCGCAGATCGAGAAAGCGACGGAACTCTACTGCGAAATTAAGGATGTTCGTGATGAAGTCAACATTCTCAAGTCAGTGGCCCAGTTCCAGCAAATTGTACAGAGGGGGCTTGCTGGCAAGGACGTGGACGAATCACGGTTCTCTTCAACATATGTCGTAAAGGATCTCAAAGAGCTTGATTCCATTGCAGAAAGGATCCAGGGAGCGGTATGTTTAAACTTGCTTTTTCTTAAGACACATGTATACTGACACTCGAAACTTGAAGATCAGCACCACGCTGTCACTACAACAAAGTGATGTTGCGAACCGTCAAGCGACTGAAGCGACAAGGCAAGGCAAGACAGTGATGACTTTCACTTTTGCCACAGTTCTATTCGTAAGTCTTACCCCAAGGTTCCGAACTGACCGATAAGATACCTCCTGACCTTAACTTATACAATTAGCTTCCCTTATCGTTTTTATCATCATTGTTCGCTTTGGATGTGGCGTCCTTCCAACAAGCTCCTGCTTGGGCTTTCTACGTGATATGTAAGATCCTATGACTAGAACTTACATCGATGCACCCTACTAATAATGGCACAGTCTTTGTCTCTATCGGGATCTCAGTCATCCTAGGTTGCAGTGTCTTCTGGTGGGACAACATCAAGCGCGCCAAGGACATACTTCTTGACATTCTAGAAAATTCATTCGAGAGCGCCAGCCGAACTTCAAGTCCACCGAAATTGCCGGGAAAAGAAGGTACAGCGAGCAAAGACAGAGAGGGAATTGACACAGCTGTCGATATTAGATCAAAGAGCAAAGATAGTGAGCCAGGGTTTAAGAAGCGTTTCAGAAGACAGAGGCGGGGAGGTGACGAAGAGACTGCTGAGAGTCATGCTGTGACATAGAGGGTTAGAATGCAAGACCATCTGTTCTTATTAATATGCCATAAATGAGACTACATAGCCACTTTCTACTTCTGCGACGTTGAGGTAGTGTTTTAATTTTCCCCACTATGCTTTTATACGAGACTTAGCATTCTTACCCCATGCTCAGTTTCGTCTCCCGAATGAGCTCCTTTAAATGAGTGACGGTAACTCTCAAGCTGATCCGCAGGCAAACTTGCCCCAATACTCTCCCACTTTGAAACTTGACCGACAATTCTACATTTTCCATCATCGTTTCTTCGTACGAGAAAAAGAGTTGGGAGCCCTGGTAATACGCAGATTGCATCCCCAACTTCTGCCACCGCATCACCATGAAGGAGTTGCCCCGCTGTTCCATCTTGTAGCACAAAGTTACTACATCCGACCATGCTCTTCTGGAAAATTGGGTCTATTATCATCCCATAAGCACCTTCCAACTGCTCCTTCGTTCCGACTCGTGTGCCGAGTGATGAGAGCGGTTGATTGTGTACCATGCATACATAAGCCATCATTACTCTCTGCACGATGATCGGGTTTTGTGTTAGTCGCTCTTCGGTGTATATGTCTGAAAGATGAAATTTGAACCACTCAGTCATGACTTCCATGCGAGTAACTCTTCTGATAGCTGCCGCCACTTTAACGACAGCCTCATCAAATTGCAGGAACTCTGCTGGTGATATGAGGCCATTATCGGGATCAGGCGTGACGGGCTTGCTGACAGACACACACTGGCTAAGCACAATTGCCGGCATTGTAAGAGCCTTGCCATCCTCAGAAACGTTGAAACACTTCCCAGGACTCGGGGTCAAATTGGACCTTGCTGTCCAGCTGTTTCGGAGGTCCGGTGTCCACGATGGCACAGACGAAAGGTTTCCGACGGTTCCCAGGTTCAAAACACGGATATCTTGGGTCTGCTCAAGAATGAACATTGTAAACTTGTAGCAGAGGTCCTCGAAAGATTGGGTATAGTCTGGTTGGAGTGCCTTAGGTAGAGGATCGCAAGCCAAGAGCCCGATGAGAGCATATAAACGATCGTGAGCCACCGTAGCTTCTAGCTCTGTGGTTTCATTCAACAGCTTCACCATGTCAAGAGCGCACTGCTTTTCCTGACTCACAGCAGCTTTTGCTTCTTCTGGAGTCTTTTCGCTTCTGGCCTGCAGAATGTTCTTGTACACCAGCTCGATAGCTTTGAACCTGACTGGGTTCTCAGCCATGAACGAGTAGAGCAGCTGCCCATCCTCAGATGGATTCAGTATCAGGACCCAAGTCTTGAAGAAGATCTCGTATCCCAACTCATAAGCTCCATAAAGCAAGATCGGCTGCTTCTTTGCTAGGACAGCTTCTTGAAGAATCCAGATCCGTCGGAACCATGGGCGATGACCGAGAGACCTTAAAGCCTTCCGAACGGATTCGACCTCAATTGCTGCTGTTTCGTCGGAGCGGCCAGAGCTCATGAACGTTTTGATGCGCTCATCTTCAGACAGGTCTTGACTGATTAAATCTGTAGGCACCTGAAAGTGCTTCAGCTTCTCGGACAGTCTGCAAACATGAGTCTCCTCATCGCTGTCAACCGGGCCCAACCACGCTAACACACGCTCACACTGGCCGTAAATCTCTGACATGCGGGGAACTTGGATCGACTTTTCAACTTGATCATTCTGATTGATGGAAATGGCATCTACCCAGAGCATTGCCTTATCACTGTCGTAATCATTGAACACATGACGGCGATACTGATACAGAGCATTGTAGAGGTTCCTGGTGATGCTGAATGGCTGGTCGTTGAGAAGGATAGTGGCGGGGTTTTCTCTTGCGCCCCAGACGTAAGACAAGGCCCAGAATCTTTGCGACGTGCGGGATTTAATAGTCTTGAGCTCCACCCGCATCAAGTCAGTGTTTCCAGGTTCCACAAGAAGCAGTCTTAGCTCGTCGAGCTTGAGAGGCTGATACGGAAAGAGAGTAAAAGTGTGTAGGTCCATTGTGACGTTAGTGAAGAGGGTTTAATTCCTCTCTGCCTTTTTGCCCCCCGCTGACAAGTCCCCACTGGCGTTTCCCCCCTGTAAGTCCAGTCTCACTGATCAACAGGGGTAATCAGGATGATCAAGATAAGCGGAACGGAAGAAGCGCTGTGATAGACTTCACCAACCGAATTGCGATAAAAGTATTTTTGTAATCTCCCCATTGCGATGTGACTGGATCATCGAATGATTGTCTGAAAGGGACCAATTGCCAGCGTTTGATGTTGATCCCATCTTCATGTAGATTCAGTCTATCAATGCTTCGTGATTGTGAACCTTTCTTTTCTATAGCTGTGGCTCGAAAGCAAAGATTTAACACCTCTTAGCTGCGAGATTACAAAGTGAAAAGGGCTCAAATCAACGTCAACGCTATAAATATCTGGCTGTCTACCCAGAATTCGCATTTCTCTTGCCACTTCTCCTTCAACAAATTTCACCACCAAACCTCCAATTACTGATAGAACAAGCTTTTCTCTCCGCCAATATGAAGATCACATATGGTCTGAAAGAATCCCTACGTGCATCTCTCCACCACGTAAGTCAATTCCCCAATCTATCCCAACGCTTCGACGTCTTGAGGGACGAACTGGAACGTCTAGCCGAGAGACTCGCTTCCTATGGTACAAGGGCCCCGAGAGGGACAAAACTCACCCATGACATATACACACTGAGGACTAGAATTTTGGGACATCGCGGTGCTATGAGAAGTCTCATCATCGAACTGAACAGTGCGTATAATAGAGTCAACAGGAGTGGATATGTTTCTGTAGCACAGCCTATACTGTCCATGCGTGATGGGGAGACACTTCATAGTCGCACACCACAGCTGGAGGCGTTGATGGCTGTTACAGGCTATGATGCGTATTATCAACGGTTGAATGGTATGTGGAATGAGGCTATGCGCTTTTCACAAGAGGTTGATTATCTTGGAAATTGTTGTGCTTGACACCAGCGATAATGAGCTGCTATCTAATACTGGACTGGGATCCGTGATACAAGTTCGAGCTTAGCTTAGATAACTGTATCACATAACAATATCTTATCTTGAACATTCCGCTCTTGCATATTCCATCCGTGGTATATTCCCTTCTCTTAATAAGGATTTTCTGAAAAGATGCTTGGCGCGGTTATGTCCGCAGTGATTCCAGTCGTCTGAATATTCGAGTCAATCGTGACAAGCGCTTTGACCGCAGATAAGGTATCCTGGATTTCCTTCGCAGCCTTGATGATTCCCGCTTGAATCGCTTGCTGATTCGCAATCAAAGACGTTCTAACAGATCCATCCGCAGCCTCCATCAGAGTTGCAGCTAGACCCAGGTTATTGCCAATCGCCGCAAAGGTTGACTGAATCTCTTGCAAGGCTACGCCGACGCTCTGCAGTCTATCGCACATGACGCCATTCTGCATGGAAAGCAGATTCACTGCACCAACTAGTGCATAGGCTGTCTTGTTTGCATCAGTGCTCTTCTTGGCGATGTGTGCTTCGTACTCAGCCCATGCCAGTCTGACATCATTCTGTTTCGCAATGATGGCGCTCGATCCGGAGACCCAGCCAGCAACGGGGATCCAAATATAAGAAACAGCAGTGTTGGCTTCCATCATATTACGGTTCTGTGCAACGGATCGTCAGTCAAATGTCCCACCAATTGTCTTATGGAAGTACCAAAGATCAATCACTTATGATATCCGCTCGCAACAACTTACCCAATTATCCTTGGCAGCCTGAGCTGCCTCAACGCTATCATTGAGAACTGTTTGAATCATCGAAAATGTCTCATCGAGTGTACTGATATAATGATCACCATCATACAATCCAAATTTCTTCACGACGGCATCAATCTCTTGTTTCGTAGCCTGAATCTTGCTTCCTTGCTGTATCGAGTCAGTCTTATTCATACCCATTGCATAAGGCTCCTGATCGAGGCGACAAGGGACGCCAAGCCCTGAATGCTGTAGGCTTTCTCGTTTGCCTGCTGACTCAGATTTAGAAGCATGGCACTTGCGTTTTGAGCAAGACTTTTGAACTGAGAGTCATTCTCAGAACCGGGCTGAGAGTATGTCTGGCTGGTTAGTGTGCTTATCATACTCTGAAGACTAGCTTCGCCGGGACCAGTGAGTTGGTCAATGAGAGATTGACAGAGCATTTGCGTTTCGGCGAAAATAGTCCCTGTATAAGTTAGCCCGCATAATACTGTTCACGCAGGTCTACTTACAGAAGCTCGATACTGCGTATTGATTGAATTCGTAGCACGCGTTCCAAAAGTCCAGCATGGCAGTTTCTGTTTGCTTCAGGGTCTATAAGTAGACATGTTCAGACTTTACAGCGCGTACATACCTGGTATAGAAGAGGATCAAAACTGTTCAATGACGGCAACGAGGCTTTAGGATATAAGGTCTCAAATGATGACGTGTCCGCGGGAAAGGACACGCCAGCGACGAGAGAGATCCTCAGATCTGTCAACTAGCTGTTAGCTCACGAGCTTGCATCATGGTAGACAATGACTACCGAGATAGCCATAAGATTGTAGAATAAACCGATGGCCCTTTTTGCCTGTGATGCTTCCATCGTCTTCAACTAACGGCAGTGATTTAGTTAGATTGCCTGTTGGGTTATTCAAAGCATTGATCAGAGCTTGTCCAATGTCGGTAGGAATCGTAGAAGTGGTGGTAGTAGACATATTGTCACGTCTCTGTTTCTAAGAAATGCCCATTGCTTGAGAGAATGGGGCCCGTGGCCGGACTTTAAAGGCGTACTACAGACCTTCAATGAGACAACTCGAGGTCTAGAACAAGCCACTTGGCCCATTGTGGCTGGGCTATCGAGTTCCAGAACTCATTTCGACAAGCCATATCTCACAGTAATCAGCGCCTGTGTAAATAGTTCTACGATAGTGTCATTTCAGAAAAGCGATGTGTTAATTCCATTCGTTACGCATCGTGGGCTCCGACGTATTGAGACATCACCTGTGTTCGCAGCCTAAAGCTTAACCCTATAGGCCGCAGTCATCATCCATAGTCGTATTGAGACAAAGGCAACTGCCACGTGATTCGCCCCTCACTACACCACTTTACCTCAAAACTTAGCACCAAAGGTCGCGCTACGTCTGATCAATGCAATTCCTTGATCATGCATGATTGAGAATGTCCGGCGGCGGCTTAGCCAAGATCGTAACCCTCCTCCGCGCAAACACAGCGCAATCAATTCCGCCCTCACACCCCTTTCAGTGCCGAAATCCGATCATCTACGCGGTACGGGCCGTATTACGGTGTAAAAACCGCTCGCTACTGGGGAAAAAGAAAGTGCCGATGGGGGGTTGGATGATCACCCTTGGCGTAGCTAAAACGGTTAGACTGCTGGTCATCTGCAGTGCTGCGGCGTAATATCCCCGTGATGATCTGACGTCGATAAACTTTCGAGTATTGAAGTTTATCATACAGTCGAGACGGCTCGGATTCTACGCTGATCTTGATAGAGTTCGTCTCGAAGTGTAGCTCCCTACTAATGATGCAGCAAACGGGCACTTGTAGTAAGCTTATCGCCGAGTGTAATTATGTCTCACTCTTGATGCCCTTAACCCTCGGTTTTCGATAGCCGTCACTCTCCACTATCCTCATGTTTCACAACATTTCCTTTCGTCATCGCATGACTCGTCCTTATCTCCCTCAATTCATTCCGCTCTCCGCCCGCGGACTTTCCATGGACCGTCCATGCTTAGCTGTCGTTGCAACGGTCGGTTACGATGGCCCATGAGGCGTAGCTCATCTAAACAGGCAATGCTTGGGGAAAATCTCGGTTATAATCGTATACACCTTTTATCCTATTGGCTCATGCTCATGGGCTGTACCACTGCAGTGTTACATTGCAACGGAGATAATCATGGGGTTGAGCCCTTTCGAGCCGATATGATGTGTTAATTCGTTTATGCATTGTCGATGTGGTGGTGTTTTGCGGACTCGGGCTCTCGGGGTATCAAAAATTCGAGAGACGACAGCTGGGTAGACAGAAATGTCCGCACAGAAATCCAGGCAATGATGTCGGTTACTGTGTCACTTGTTTTTGACATGCTGGACTGAGGCCCTATTATTCTCGTACCCCCCTCGGGACTCGCGCCTTAGAGCGCCGGTGAAATGGAGATTGAGGCCAAGTATAGAAGAGGAGCATTTTATGTCGATCCCTCTTTTGATATATACCTCGTAGGTGATATAAGTATAGCATCAATGCCGTGAAGGATTCAAATCCATCATCCCACCATCGGCAGTTCTTCAAGATGTCAGCATACATCGATACGATCCTCCAGAATCCGCAATATGCGGTCCTTTCCGCAATTTCTCTCATCACAATCTTAGTCGTCAACTTTTCCTTCCTCACTCATGACGAGAAATACCCATTTCTCATCCCCAAGAAACCTTTGGAACTGACCGACAGGCGAGTCGTCAAGGAGTTCCTCGCCAACAGCAAGAGTCTCCTTGCAAACTCGCGAACAGTCTATAAGGATCAGCCATACAGGGCTTACACCGAGCTAGGCAAGCTCCTGGTTATCCCTCCTTCGTGGGTCGAGGCCTTGAAGAGTAACCGACAACTTGATTTTCTCCTACCCACTAAAGATGTAAGGGTTGGTATTGATAGTGATGGCTCGGTGCTGATTTTGATAAGGACGCCCATCAATACATCCCCGGGTTCGACCCCTTTGGATTCGATCCTAAAATGCCGACTGTCATCAATAAGTATATCACAAAGGCCTTGAGTGAGTATCTCTCGCTTACCTATCCCAAAATATTTACTGATGATCATTCTTTAGCCAGGATAACGGGTCCTGTCTCTGAGGAATCTGCTTTAGCAATCCGCGACTGTCTCACTGACTCAAAGGGTACCTCACCGTACTTCCGCCCAGGAAGACACATAACTAACACCTCTCAGAATGGCAGGGTGTTAAACCCCAGGAGGACCTCATCCGCATCGTCTCCCGCGTATCCTCCCGAACCTTCATGGGCGAAGAGCTCTGCCGCGATGAAGAATGGAACAGAGTCTCAAGCGAATACACCCTCATGAGTTTCGGCTACATCCACACTCTGCGTACATACCCCCGATGGGTTCGACCATACATCCACTGGTTCCTCCCTCAGTGCGGGGCTATCCGCGCAAAACTGAACGAGGCGCGTCAGTGCCTGAAGCCTCATATCGATCGCCGAAACGCTATCAAGCAGAAGGCGCTGGCTGAAGGGAAACCGTGTCCCTTTGATGACTCTCTTGAATGGTTTGAGAGGGAGTATGAGAAACATGATCCGGCGAAAGAGCAGATTGCTGTTTCGATCGTTGCGTACCATACTACGTCCGACTTACTTGCTGAAACGCTTCTTAACCTCTGTCAACATCCTGAGCTGTTGGGGGAGCTGAGGGAGGAGATTGTCACGGTCTTGACTGCTGAAGGGGGATTGACTAAAGGGGCGATGTATAACCTGAAGTTGATGGACAGCGTGATCAAGGAGTCCCAAAGAATGCGCCCAATTCTACTCGGTGAGTCAAAGTTCTAGTACTCGTTATCATCGAAACCACTAACATTCATGTCAAGGTGCATTCAGGAGAACAGCCACGGCAAATGTCACCCTCCCCAACGGCGACATCCTCAAGAAGGGCCAAAAGATCATCGGGAATATGTCGCACATGTGGGATTCCGACACTTACGATAATGCACTTACCTTCGACCCCTATCGCTTCGTTAAAATGCGGCAGGCAGGCGATGACAAGAAAGCTCATCTCGTCAGCACTAGCGCTGACCATCTTGGTTTCGGACACGGTATCCACGCATGTCCCGGACGCTTCTTCGCTGCCAACGAGATCAAGATTCTCTTGTGCCACATGCTACTCAAGTACGACTGGAAGTTGCCAGAGGGCTTCAAGCCGCAGCCATATTTCTCTGGATTTAAACTGCTTGGCGATTATTCTTCGGATATACTGGTTCGACGTCGCACTGAAGAATTGGACATTGATTCTCTTTCCCAGTCATAGGGCGATGGTTCTTCGTCCCATCCATCAATTGAGAACACTACGGGTTGAAGTCAGGATGAGTCACTTGTATACTAGTTTCACCAAAATTGACAATTATTCAATTCATCTCGCTCGCTCTTTTAAAAAGCCGCTCGTCAAATGACCGTCTCGTCCCGATTAATTATCGTAAACACAATACGCGCACCGAGCCAAATACGATGCACCAACCAGAGGATTTAAAAATTCTCCGGCATAAACAGATGCGAGGATGAACCCTCTAAAATCCCGAACCTTTTTTACTCTTGCTTTGTAACGGGCTCTCGGGTTGTTTAACTATACCGAGATGCAGGATTTTCGTGTTATGACGATGCACCGTTTTCGGCAGTTGATCTTGAGACCCGATATACTGGCACGCTAGTGTAAAGATTGATATGAAGCTGTTTTCCTGCTCAGTAGTTAATACGATAAATATTGCATGTCAATTACGAATATCGTTCATTATAAGCCAGTCTCGCAAAACTTGACCACATTCGATAGATCATCATGAATATCGACTACTATGGACGTATCGCGGAGAGTCTCCAGTTCGACAACACTCCTGTTATGATCGCGACAAACGCGTGCTTCATAATTGGTCTTCTACAGTACACATATGCCATAAGACTTCTCATTCGCGAAGGTCAAGGTCCTATACCATTCTGGATGCAAACCTTTTATGTCGCCCACGAATTGACTTTCGTCTATCTCTTCGCCGAAGCCGCACACCGCTACGATTACCACTGGTTCTTCATCTCAACGTCATTCTCACTAGCTGTCTGGGCAGGTCTCGAGATATTCTGCATGTGGTATACCATCCAGAGCCCCAAGGACCGCATCGCGACATTTTCACCTCTCTTTGGAAAACACCCGACTACTTCCTCCATCTTGACGTACACTTTCTTTCTGCAGCTGGCCATGTTCGCAGTGGTCTGGATATTGATTGAGTTTCTGGGCGCTGGAAGCTTCATGCTCACGGGAGCGCTCACCAATGTCCTTTTGATCATCGGACCGACACACGAATATCTATCCCGTGGCTCACGAAACGGTCTGTCGATTGGGTTCTGTCTTACGAATGTGGCGTGCGTCATCTGGACATTCGCCCCGTTCAGCTTGGGAGCTGTTGTCCTACCTGAGATTTTCGACCAGACTATCATATATGTCGCGGGAGTCATTTTGTTTGGATCCTCGATCTGGTTGACGACTGTTGTTGCGTCTTACCCTCCCAAGACAGCTACGAAGGGACAGCCGACCCCAATTTGGTAGTGGCCGACAGATTTGGGAAGGTCTTTGGTATGTGGGACTGAATAACTTCCAAATCCTTTGTATTCTTCTTCTGTCCTTACGACACCGCCCGCGTCTTCATTTCCAGAGCTTCGGATATTTCTATAGAATCATTCCGCTCCAGTAGCATAAATCCCATCTCTAATAAGCTGACTCAACTTTTTGTTTGTCTTAATATATCGTGCCAGATCACGTCTCTTCTCAACCAACAAATCCATCACAATCCTTCCAAACACCAACTTTCCAGAGAAATTCAGGTGAGTGCGATCTCCCTCAATCTCGTTATACTTGTCGGCATTCTCCTGTCCAATAGAGTTGACATACTTGGTACTCGCGGTATTAAGATCAAGGTACTTGACACCAGCTTTATTTGCAACAGCAATTGCTGCATCGCGCTCGTTGCTAAGGTTCTCAATGACTTTTCCGTCTTTGAAAGTACGACGGGTGAGGGATGTAACGATAATCTGCCAAAATCAGTCTCTGCACCTGAATCTTAAGATCAAACTTACCGCTGTTCCTCCAGCCTCTTTGACCTCACCAATCATAACAGCAAGGTTATCCGAGTACTCCTGCAGCGTAAGAGTCTTCTGATCATTATGCCCAAACTGAATCGTGACAATAGCCTCGTGATCTTTCTTATGACTCTTTACATTCTCAAGAGCAGTATCCCATAAGCCCTGAGATCGGAAAGATACAGTCGTTGCACCATTCTTGGCAATGTTGATGCCGCCTGCGGGCTTCTTGGTGCTGTTCAGAAGCGCATCGCCCCAACCGCCACCGGTGGCAACGGTAGAGTCACCGGTCAAGATAAAGAAGGGCGATTTCTTGGCCTTAACGCCTCCGAAGAGGGTTAGGACGCTTGCAGCGAGGGTGGGGAACTTCATAATGAGATAGGAATGGTCACAGAACTTGACCGTTGGAATGAACAGATCTGTCCCCTTGGTGAACTATATACCTTCATATCCGGCAAGTTCATCCAATCACTGAACTTCTTGCAGGCATTTCAACAAATGTAATAATTCCGCCAATAATCGTGTGTCTACCAAAGTTTGGGGGCACGACAAGGCACCCCGGATTTCCAAAGCTTAATGCGCCAACTCCATGTCGAGCCGTTGGGGTTAGTGCGGATCTCCATGCTCCGGTTTACCAGGGTAGCCGATTGGTACAGTTTACGTATCGGCAGTACTACTCGGGTCTTGATACACCGAGCTCCGTCAGAGCAATACATGATAGTCACGTTCCAGGTTCAATCAACAACATAATGAGTTTGACTCAAGCTCTCTTGGCTGATTTGTTCTTTTATTCATGACTAGATACTACCAGCCCTAATCTCCATTTTCTTTTCATTCATCACACTTCCTCAAACGTTCAGCTCAGCAGCCTTGGCCTTTTGGATAGAATCCTGGTAAGGCGCAAGCTTCTTCTCCAACTTACCCCCGGGACCACAGAACTTATCGACCAACTGCGCACTGCGACCAATGTACAGCTCCGGCTTCATCATGCCATCGAGATCAGCCCAGATGGGCTTGAAGAACTCGGTCTTCTTGATTCGCTCAACGAGATCGTTGGACTTGCCGAGGCTCTGGACCTGGTGGGATGCTTCGAAGGAGAGAACGCGGATTTGCTCGTGAGCCCTGGTTTTGTTAGTGAGTGGTTGGGGAAGGGTTGAGATTGGGGAGGGCTTACTCTTGTCGGGAAACACCCATTGCGACGAGGCGCATGATGATGTTCTCGGTGATCATGAAGGGGAGCTCGGCCATGATGTTGGAGTGGATCTTGAGGGGGAAGACGACGAGACCCTCTGTGACGTTCTGGAGGGTGATGGCGACGGCATCGGCGAGGAGGAACATCTCGGGAATGTCGATTCGTCGCTAGACCAGTCAGAATGTGAGATGAATGACGAACGCTAGGATTACTCACGCAGGCGGAATCGTCAAGGGATCGCTCCATCCACTGAGCGGAGTGGGTGCTCTGGTAGGTAGCGGCCTTGGACTGGAGGACACGGGCGAGACTGGCAATTCGCTCGGATCGCATGGGGTTCTGCTTGTAGGCCTGACAGTGCATTAGTATGTTGCGATGTTCAGTTCAATTCCTGCAAAGTTTGACTCACCATGGCGCTGCTTCCGATTTGACCCTTCTCTCGAGGCTCGCCGACTTCCTTCATGAAGGCGAGATGTCGCAGATCCGAGGCGATCTTGGTGACGGTGGTGCCGAGGCCAGTAACGGCGTTGGCGATGAGACAATCGACCTTTCGGGTACTGGGGATCATTAGTATCGACCGAGGGAGTCAATCACATCGTGAGACTCACTATGTCTGTGTTGAGATCTGAGAATTGTTAGAAAAGCACCAGAAAAATAATAGCATGCACTTACGTCGTAGCACTCCTCAAAGCCAGCCTTCTGGCAAAGCAGCTCATTGAGCTTATCGCACTTCTCATGATCACCACCAAAACTAAAACCATCAGAACTCATCCCAACACCAATGCATGGCAAACTCACATCTCGAGGAAACTGGCCTGAGTACCAGTAGTGCCCTGCGCACCACGGAACTTGAGCTCAGCGCGCACACGCTCAAACTCATTAAGATCCATCAAAAGATCCTGCGCCCAACCCGCAGCTACACCCTGTCAGAACACAATAACTCCACTGAGTACTGAGTGCTTGCTTACCTCGCTTGCCGACGGTGCTGATCTGAGCAGGCTGGAGATGTGTGAAGGACAGAGTTGGCTCGTTCTTCCACTCGAGGGCGAATTGCTGCAGGTTGTAGAGAACCTTGGCGAGCTTGGGGATGAGAAGATCGAGAGCGTCGCGCATGAGGATGAGCTCCGTGTTGTCGGTGACGTAGCAGCTCGTCGCGCCGTAGTGGATGATACCAGCTGCAGCGGGGGCAGCTTGACCAAAAGCATGAACGTGCTGTATCTCAATCAGCCTTGTCATATCGTCATTGAGGTATGAATCTTACAGCCATGACATCCTGGTACGCTAGTCAGCTCGCTTATCCCCAACACTTGATCAGTGCACTCACATGACGTCGGATCTTCTCCTCATGGCGCGCAACCTCAAAGTCATCGTCAGTAACAGTGATATGCGCCCTCATCTGCTCGAGCGCCTCGTCGGTGATGGTGTTGATGCCGAGCTCCTTCTCGCTCTCGGCGAGGTAGAGCCATAGCTTGCGCCAGGTTGAGTGGCGGGAGCGCTGGCTGAAGAGGTGGGACAGCTCCTGGCTGCAGTAGCGGCCCGTGAGGGTTGTCTGGTAGGTATCAAAGGCGGCCATTTTGGTGACTGAGTGATGGTTTGATATTGTGAATAAGGCTGAGGGCGGGGAGGTCTTTTTGACGTGGGCGTGGAGAAAGAAAATTTTAGCCTTTGGCCCGGATAATTCTCTAGCCGTTTGTTGTTGTGCACTGCCAGCGCTGTCAGTGCCAGTGGTTGCAAACTGTGTTTTGTGATTGGTCAGACTTGTGTGTCAGTGGGGCAATTCCGTTAAACCGCTCATCAGCGCATCAGTCCATCAGTGCATGGCAGTGCACAACAAGAACAGCTGAATAAATCAGTTCATTCTCACCTGATCTGATAAAATTGATGATATTCCTATTCTCTGCTTTCTTTGATCACTCAGCAGAGGTAAGGAATATGTGCAGACCTGGGACTGGGTTTAAGTTAGCAGATTCCCCACTATCAACCTTGTCATTCAATGGCAGATCTCATCGAATAATATCACAAGATTCATTCTGTGACTCTTCTGCAATGCTCACCCGAGTTCAAGACGCAATGTTTGATTCCCTATACGAAGACTATATTTTTGCATTGCCGTTATCGTTGTCAACTCCTCGCCCAATGAAGGTAGCGCTGTCTCATGATTGACAGCATGGATCTTATCTGGAGAGCATCATGTTGGCAGCAGCTCTCGAATGAAAACATGAACAGCACCAATCTAGATAAGAGGCTCAGATGAGCATACAGCTCCAGTCATAGAAGTAACACAAGACAGAGGACTGCTAAGATCTAGCGCTTGCATCAGATGGGGATTGAAACTTGGCATGCTCCATATTTAGGCGTCAATGACCATGGCATTTATATCCGAAATTATAAAGCCGATTGGTTTCTTAACGACACGGTAGAGACTATGTGCAATATGATTTGTTAGATTGCTCGCTTTGATGTCCTGGAATGCTTTCGCTCAAGCTTATTCAAGTGTTATTAGTGTTATAGTACAAGTTGTCCCGATTGACAACTTCACAAAGCTAAAGCGTGAAATGTCCTGCACATACTAACCGATTGCAAATATCGTACTAAGAATTCTATTGAGCACCACGCGTGTGAACTATTTATCCAAGAACAACGTCTGTGATTAAAGTTTGACAAACAGAGGTTTAGGGTATGGGTTGATAAAAGTGTTGTAACGATAAGATAAGATGATAAGATAAACTTCTGGCCTGTCGCGTCACAAGCAAAACCACTCAACGCGTGCCACAGCGCAGGGACCCAGGTCACCCCATGTCACCAGATCTCTGATCCTTCCATCTCGGCAATGACGTAAACGAAATAAACTCGTGTAAAACGCATTAATGTTCATCTGATCTTCAAATGACCCAAACCTCTCCAATCCCCATAAAACCCGTCCCTAGCGCCACGGAATCACCGGCGCATATATAAAAATAGCATCACGCTTACCAAGAACTGGTCTAGAACGCCTCGCCAACATGGGTCAATACGAGGGAAAAAACCAAGTCCACCCCTGCAAGGAAAAGGGGCCATTCCAATTTAAATAAACACTGACTCTTCCCCAAACTTTTTTTTCTTCCTTATCCATCTCTTGGCTTGTCATTCGCTTATTCATCACTTTCGTTATACTTTATTTTCTTCAATATGAAGCTTTTTGGATCTATTGGCGCCGTCGCGGCGGCTTTGATGCTGCTTCCTGGCCAGGCTTTGGCTGGGCAGTACAAGGGCTTCAGTATGGGTGCCAACAGAGCCGATGGCGCTTGCAAGTACACTGCGGACTGGAAGAAAGATTTCCAGACGATCAAGGGCTGGAACAAGGGTTTCAACGCTGTGCGTCTGTACTCCGCCGATGACTGCAACAGTAAGTAACCCCTGCACTTGATAAGATCGACACACACTGATGGATTTCAGCTCTGGTCAAGGCTGTCCCCGCCGCCAAGCAGACCGGCATGAAGATCCTTGTCGGCGTCTGGGCCACCGACGACGCTCACTTCGGGCGCGACAAGGCCGCTCTTCTCAAGGTGATCAAGCAGTACGGCACCGACTGGATCGCCGCTATTTCCGTCGGTTCCGAGGACCTGTACCGCAAGGACATCTCCCCCGACAAGCTGGCCCAGCAGATCTACGACGTGCGCGGCATGGTGCGCCAGTTCAACAAGAACCTCAAGGTCGGACACACCGACACCTGGACCGCGTGGGTCGACGGCCGCAACGACGTTGTCACAAAGGCGTGCGACATTGCCATCACCAACGGATTTCCTTACTGGCAGGGCGTTCCGATCAAGGAGGCTCTGCAGAAGAAGACGTTCCAGAACTCGTACTGGAGTGTGCAGAAGCACGTCAAGGCTGTTAACAGCAAGGCTGCTGTTTGGGTTGGTGAGACGGGGTGGCCGACCAAGGGACCTAACTACCAGAAGGCTGCTGCTACTACAGCTAGTCTGCAGAGTTACTATAACAATGTTGGGTGCTGGTTGTGGCAGCAGAAGGATGCTAGTGGATTCTGGTTCACTGCTTTTGATGCGCCCTTGGCTACTCCTGAGGTTGAGAAGTACTTTGGTATTGCGAACAAGGATCGCAAGCTCAAGTTCACTCTGACTTGCTAGATGGTGTGTATCTGATTTCGAGTATATTTTTTGGACATGAGAGGGATCTGGCGGGGAAACAGGCGCTGGACTCATAGCATATACATTCATTCATAGACTATTTCATTCAAAAGCCAGCGGGGTAAAAATATAATGGCATTGTAATTCATTGCGACTGACTGACGACAATATCTACTTTTCTTCTGAACCTCAAGCCTTGATCCCAAAAGGAGGGCCCAAGTAGCTCTTTGCTACACCACCACAGTCAACCACGATCTTCTCAAGCAACATGTTCGCATGTCCCAACCTGACATGTAGCGTATGTGCACCAGGTCCCAACGTCAGTGCGTGCTCCCGAACCCAAACATTATCCGACGCAGCAAAGAACCAGCCATCGGCAGACGCCCATCCCTTATCAGCAGCATTCTTCTCACTCTCTTGAGTTCTCTTCTGCAGAGGATAGCTTTGGCTTTGTTCCTTGTCGATTTGAACGTCATAGGTCAGAATATCTTCTGAGGAGAGATCCAGAGTGGTGCCGAAGTATAGTACTAAAGTAGCGTTGGAAGTCTCACTGAAGAGGTAGAAAGGGTACTGAACGTAGGGAATCGAGTCGTTGGTATCGGTTCCTGGTGCGAGGGTCAAAGAGCCAGTTTCTAGTCTGCCTGCATCGGGGAGAACCAGGTATGGAGTCTCGAGGTGACAATCGGTAGCAGGGATAGACACAAAACCATCCTGCTCGACGAAACCCTCGAAAGAATCTGGTACCCGTCTGCCCTTGATCGGTAGATGGACCTGTTCAAAGTCTCCTTCTTCCGACCGAACATCAATGAGTACTTCTTCGTTGAACTCATCAGGCACTTGATCCCAGTCAATGGAGATCTCAACCTTGGCATCTTCTTCACCGGGTATCAAGACCCCCGACATCTTCGACAGATTAATCCATGGCTGAGGCGCCGAAACAGACCAGTTGATCCTCGGCACTCCTCGGGTAAAGATATCAAAGTATCGAGCCCCAGGCCCATACCGACTCATAGGCCGCAATGTCAACCCAGGAACAAGATCTCGTCTACTCGGATGCGTCCGCTCAGATTCCTCATTGATCCGACCTGGCCTTACACCCTCATGCCCTTCGACAGCAACACCCATCTGTCCCACAATAGGATTCGAGTTCTGGCGTTTCTGAACAAAGCATAATCCACCGATCATGTCGCGTGAAGGCGCATGCCATGTGTCTTCATAGCCGTAGTGCGGCTGCATGAGAATGTGGTTCCACTTTCCGTCTAAAAGGCTGTGATATTCTTCTGATAGAGTGAAGTCTTGGTCAAATGCGTCCAGGGCGATTTGAGCGTATGTGTTTGCTGAGTTTCGTCTTTGGCGAGCGTACAGCTTGTTTAGTGCTTGGCTCCAGCGTACCTTGTTATAGATAAATGACGCTTTGGTGGGATGGAGAATAAGCTGGAAAGACGCTGCTTTTTCTACTTCTGAAACATGAGCATTTACCTTTTCAGCATCATCAAGAAGATCTTTCCATCGACGATACACAGTGTCAGCTTCTCTGTAATGCAAAACGGAGAAAGTATCAGGCTCGATATGCTCATGTTTTCTCAACGCCAGTAGTCGATCATGTCGATGCCAGATGGACCCAACTTCGTCCGCGAGCTCAGCGCGAAACTCTCGTTCTGCAGCTTGGCGGAAGAACTGTGGTAGAGTATCCTGTTTGATACTGTTGATGTCCCATGCTAGAGCCATGGCGAAGGATACGGGAATTTCTTGAGGTTTTAGGTCGCCGACGTTGAAGACCCAGATTTGACGGGCGTTGTGGTGATACGCTTGCTGGAGTTGATGCCATACTTTCCCCTTGCAGGTATCAGCGGTTGCTTATAGGAAAGGAAGAGTTGAGACTTACAAGTGAGTTCGTGTTGATCCACTTGTAGCTTCGAGGATCACCAACATATTGAAGATGGTAATATACCTGACCAACCGTCAGTAAAGCCTCAGAATGAGTCAAGGAAACTTACACCAGCCCCACCCTTCCTCTTGCCCTCTTCCTTTGTTGGAAGCCGACGGATCGTGCCAAAGTTGTCATCCTGGAACAGAAGCGTTACATCTTCTGGGACATTCAACCTGCCGGTTTCGAACATCGACTGGACCTCTTTATAGATCGCGAAGAGTTCTGCACAAATTAGCCACTTTCCAACCTCAATTGAGATAAAACTCACGAGGCACAGCATCTTCACTTCCATAAACCTTCTTAACAACCCCCCTCTGCGTCTCAATAGCATCCTGCACCACAGCAGCAGGATCCTCAGCTAGCATCTTCTTATCATATTCTCCACGTATTCCTAAGGTAAAGTATGAATCACAGCCTTTAGCTCTACTAGCACCGTGCTCAAAGAATTCAGTGATTTTCTGTTTGTTGGTTAACCAATTCCAGCTGCCATCTGGATTCTCTGCGAACCACTCGTTTGACAACCGCTGCATCGGTTCGTGGTGGGACGTAGATATCACGATGCCATACTCGTCTGCGAGCTTTTGATTTAGTGGATCGTCTGTGAAGAATGATGCGCCTGGGTTGGGATAGCCGGGCCACATTGCTGGCCAGAGGAAGTTGGCCTGTTATCGTTAATAATGTGTCGCTGTTTAATGGGTTGGTTATATACCTTGAGTCTGAGTAGGAGTTCAAAAACTTCGACGTAGAATTTGGAGTTGTATCCTCCAAACGTCTCTCTCACCCAACCAGTCAAAGCAGGGCCTTCGTCGTTGAGAAAGATACCTCGGTGTCGCACAGACGGCTCGCCGTGAATGGTCTGCTTCTCAATAGCAAATATCTGTTCACGATGTTTTGGTGGTACATCGGCCCACCAGTACCATCTTTCAGTATCAGCTACTCTGGTTGGACTGACCGTGTTGGAATGACTTACGGTGAAACCCCAATCTGTTCAGAGAGCGTGTAAATGCCAAAGATGGTACCTCGCTTATCACTTCCAGCTATCACCAAAGCCTTCTCACACTTCCCCAAAGGCTGATCGACAATACTCGTGCTGAACGTCTCCCATTTTCCCTCAATTGCCTGAGTATCAAGTTTACCCTGTTGCGCAAGCGTCTTGATGATCCTCGAAGCAAGACTGCCAACGATGATAGCCGTTTCCGTCTGTATCTTGTCATAGTCCGAGTCAGATGATATCACAACCAACAGACTCGCATCGCCTCTCGTCACACGAGCAAAGTCTTGCGCCAAGTCCCCTGCGGCGCGGATAACACCAGGGTAATCTGATTGGTCCACCACAATCGAAGCACCGACCAACGGGAATGACCCGGGCGAGGGCTTGAAGTCAACGATGTTTTCCTCAAACATGATCAAATGAGTTTACACCGATGCATTTGTCTCTTTGGGGAGAGTTTAATAACTCAGGTTGAGAAGTCGGTATGACCTCCGAGATCGAGTCAGGTGATCCTGACTTTCCCCTCAATCGTTAGCTCGGTTTAATGTCATCCCGAATATTCCGCACTTAAAAACGAGAGCATCGTGGCCTTGGCAAGATGATGTCTTCCCCTCATTTGCTCAGATCATGGTGATTTTTTTAAGATCGGTGAGAAGGCCGGTTTGCGAATCGCTTCTTTTCAATACGACTTGGACTACCAACACAATTCCATGGTTTCTCACGGGTCACTACAGTATAGTTGCTATCACCTCGTGCCATAATGTCTTAGACCAATGCCTGCTGAATCGCATCCATGGCCACAGCAGTGACAACACCTCGACTTCCAATCTTGAGTGGCTTCGTCGCATAACTCCACAACCAGGCCAGCTCCCATCCACCATCAAGCTGCTGACTCTCCAGCAAAGTCCTAAGATCTCGATCATTCTTTAGACCCAATGATTGAGCACTTACAACTCTCATCGCAGCAGCAAGGACATTACCATCACACCCCATGCGCTCCTGTACGCATTCAACAAGTAAATCTCTCATCCTCTGAAGCTTTTCGTCAGATGGACATCTGGCGCAGAGGTCGGAGAGAATGTATAGGATCCAATCTGGAATCTTGTAGTAGCGGCTGCCGTGGAGAAATGCCCTTGTCTCAAGTACGTGACAGAGATATTCGTAGACACCAGGGAGTTTCTCGGACCAACAGTTGATTATGAAGAAGCGAAAGACATTGGCGCAGACGCAGTGGCAGAATCGCGGGCGGTTCTTATCAAACCAAGCCTAGGAAATCATGAGATTGGAGAAGAGACATCTTGCTGGCCTAGCACTTACTTCCGGAAGACTGTCTTGATTGACGTATGATAATATCACACCCCTCGCTTTGACCTTTCGTTCCATAGACATATCTTCTATCATGGCCATTGCCAAACACGTCGTGTCGGGATCATCTGGATATGTTGTGCCATCATACGTAGGACTACCATGAAAATAATTCCACGTATCGCCCTCGTTCTTCAGTACAATAAGGTCTCTATCACGAGGATAAGCCAAGAAACAGTATCAAGATCTGCGTCAAAGACTTACCGGTCTCCTGTATGATGTAAGATGAGCAGCTGAGAGAAGTTATCCGGCTGAAGGTTGCCTGTATTCATCGTGCAGAAAAGATTCTTTGCATTCTACAAGTACGTCTTTGCGCGAGCAGCGGGATCCCCTAGCATGTTGTGGAGAACTCTTATCAGCTCCTCTGTAGTGGTAAAAACGATGCCTTTGAATCCTAGGCATTGCGTATTGACAACGCTGCCGACTTTGTCGTCAATGAAGATGCAGTTCTGTGCTGGTTCTTGTATTTTCTCCGAAAAATGCGCTATATGCACCCATTTCTGGCTTTCTCTGTCGCAAATCGGAAGAAGCGATGAATTGATCGATGTTACCCCCATCCCTCAATCTCATCCTCGAGAAGAGCAAGCTCTGGTCCTGGGATATTGGACAGGCAACAGATTTTGACTGTTGAATAAGCGGTCTCCAAGTGTTTGATGGCAGATATCAGTGCTTTGTTTGGTTGCATTCCGTCTTTCATCTGTTCCAGGGCCTCTGTCCAGGTCTCCAAGTCAATCTTGAAGGTTTGGGTGACTTGTCCATAGGCCTCTTGCCTGGAGACTTTGCCCCTCTCGTATTTATGCCAGTGTGGCGAGTCGAGAGCACTCTTGATTTGGGTTGAGGCCACACCGACTGTGTTGGGTGTGTAGTTGAGGAGCACTCCGCTCAAGTCAAGGACGACTGTTGTATAGTTTGGACGATGCATGCTGGTGGTATAAGTCTCATACAATAAAACAACAGGAGCTTCGGCATTGGTAGATATATTCGATGAAACGATCTCTTATATAACAACCAGAAGTGCTTAACTTATTTTATTGGCATCAATTGTGACGCAAAGTCAGGCCATCACTATCAGAAGGCGCATTGCTATATATATCAGCAAAGCTGCAGGTGTGTGTGATATGCTGCAGGTTGCTAAACCAAAAATGCGTCACATCTTAGTCCAAGAAGATTTCATTTACCCGAAATGGTAATCGATGTCACTTCCCGTCGCGGATCAGTAATCATTGCTGACTAGTGATGCGCTCTTGATTGGCCGGGAATGCGATTGGCCAGGAAGGATTATCTCACCCAAGCCTGGCATTGCAGTGAGCTGACTGGATGTGAAGATCAGTCACGATACGGGAAACAGCCTAAGTTAGTTGAGATGTTACTGTCTGTCTCACGTCATGAGAAACGAAGACAACAAATTAAGATATGGTATATAGATAACACGGGGTGCGTAAGGTTTGAACACATGCTGATCTTCTATGCTGAACATATATTTATATAGAGGGTCAGGTAAGGTATCACGACCAAGAGAACCATTCTATTAATTAATCTACCAGTTTGTATCTCAAAGACCTTATAATTTATAAACCAGGTAGCAAGCAGGAAATTAGTATGCTTTGCTTATACTATTCCTAACTCTGATTACTAATCTTTGATTTATTCTAATATTCTAATACTAGAACTGCCTCTATAACGAGTGTTGTGAACAGGTCGAGCCAGCCATCGAGTAGGCTCCTAAGTTGACTATCTCTACGATCCAGCGAGAATATGTTGAGCCCACGGATCTGCCTGCCCCTGGTCTGGCTCTATCTTCAATTGCTGTACAGTCCGTCGAGCCCAAGCTGGTATACTGCCCGGACTGATTTTGATAAGAGTGTTCTTTTGAGTTGGTAGACACCACAGCTGATGGCTCAAATCACGCGCCTCGCACGTTAATATATTCTATGCGCCACATAGTTGCAACAGTGGAAGTATTAAGCTCACCTCTCCAGCCTACATTTTCAAGCCCCAAGACTTCAGACCTGTGTCAATCAACGGCAATATGTCACCTAGCCACTGTGCTGCTACTACAGTATAGCTGATATTGAGTTCTTTGTGATTATATAAATTTCCAGGTGCAAATAACACAGCCAGTTCACGACTGGGACATGCGAAGCCAATACATCTTATATTTCAGCTGCAACTGTCAAAACCCAGGCGGAATATCTGGAGTGACACACACATCGTTGTCATTCGTCGGTCTCGATTAGACTTCTACCGAATCAGTGGCGGTGCAACAAGGAGCTGAAAGTCGATGGCACTTTGGCAAAATGGCGTTCCTTACCACGTAAAATAGCTTAGAGAACACAGAATTTAATCAGTCAGGTCCAAAGAAAGAGGGCTGATCTATTCTATACGTGGCTAAGTAATGAAGTATGATGCCTGGTGAACATAAGCTCTACCAGAGCACTCGAGAAGCAAGACTCGCAAAAGTGAGTAGCAGTCTAAATCAATGCCAAGAGCTTTTGTGTCTGTTTCCGGAAGTAACTTCGGCCCCCCAATACACGGCTGGAGTCTAGATCTCGCGGGAAGAAACACGGCAGGTCCGGTGATCTTGGCAGGTTACATGGCACGTTTTTACCCCTGTCATTATTGAGCTTTGGCCTCTTCATCTCCTGGACCACCGTATATTTGTACTTTTGCATTTCAACATAGCCTCAGAGGCCTCGGCTCATACTTATCTATTGGGGTCCAAATCAGTGTCCAAATTTCAATGCATCGGCGGTATAGCTAAATGAGCAGGTGGTACGGTATTGTCAATCGCTGCGCAGCACTTGGAGTCCGCGAGGTTCGAGAACGCATTGGCAAGACCTGAGCTGTTACCTCGAAGGATTTGTGAGTCTCGAAGGAGAAGGTCGCTTACGACTTTTCGTTGCACAACATGAGGAAGTCACGCTGATAGAATATTGCCTAAAGGTGAACAAACATGCGATGGGATATGGCCCCCAAGACTCAGGAAAAAGTGTTCCGTTATCGTGCGATAGTGCTTGGCAACCAAATGAGGAAAGTTCCGAGATATTGCGTGTAAGTTGGCAACAGAAGAACATCTTGAAGATATATAAATCAAACAACCCGCGCTGGATATGATACATAACTCAGAACCACAACTCCATCGCTATTCATTACATCAAACCAGTCACTATGCATTATTTCAAGATCATCCTTATCTCCGTGGCGACTGCACTGGCGATGCCGGCAACCAGTCCACGGGACATTGGTGCTGAAGAGCCTTTCGACTTTGGACAAGGCTTCCTCGTCCCCGCCAACGCTTCAATTGAGGACTATGATTCTACTCCCATGATCCCACTGCCTCATCTCAACCTACGCGACCTTGACAGTCTGGAAGAGCCATTCGCTCCAGAATTAGGTAACATTACGGACTTAGATCTCGATACCCGTGCACCCAAAGAGACGAAAGTATTTTTCGGCAAGACTCAAGTCGACTATGGCTGCGAAGCCTCCATCAGAAAACCCCTCGGGGAAGCCATCCACTCCATCTGCGGAAATGGAGACTGCGACAAGAGTGTCGTTTACACCCGAAAAGTTAAGCATATGGCTGGCGGTGGCCGCAGGAAGGATGCCTGGCTCCGTATCTCAGTCCGGGGCGAGTACTTCGGCCGTCACACACGAGGTTACATGGCCTCAGCCGTTCAGAACTCAGTCAACCCCAAGACTGCGAAGCCAGCTATGCGATACTATCTCCCGACAAACCCCAACTTCCAGGCCCAGAAATGCAAGATGTCAAAGTTTAGCAATTACATTAAGATGCGCAAGAACTTTGGCGATACGATTTATATAGAGATTGATGTTACCCTTCAGACCAGTAACAGTGAGTCATTGAATCGTCATAGTAAGAACGCTCGACTAATGTAGGCATAGCACACTGCTTTACACCGAATCTTCTTAAAGAGGTTGCTGGTGCCATGGGAGGGATTGGAGGTTCCTTTTTCGGGACTCTTGTTACGGGCATGATTGGTTGTTAAGTGGACCGAGAGTGGGATTCTGATGGGGCACTCTTCAACTTGCTGGGGATATAGGCACTCAACTCCCATATCGTCAATATTTCGCTGGTCCAGATAGTGGAGCAATAAACTCTTGGGATTCTCATAAATGCATACTCCGAAGACCTCTAGATATCTACTCTAGGCCCCTTCAACCCTTTTTGTGATGATGCCAAACTTGCTCATGCCTGTGTGTATAGTAGACTCATTGCGCCTATGATACTGTTCCTTGGTCCAAGGCCCCCGGCAATCTTCCTCATCTAAATAATCCTCACCACGGTCTTTCAATCTCCTTGAGGATGAATCGCAGTCAGGTGCTTTACTTCGTTCGCCCTGATACTCATTTGAGTGCCAGCGACCGAAGACCTTCCCGCATCCCATTACGAACCCAACAATAGCGAATCCGTCGTCTGGACGCAGATGAGTGGGAAGCCTATGGCTCTGGATAGGAGGACAAGGCTTATTTGTTTCCTCCCCGTGTTCACCGCGTTCCATATCCACGCCCCAAATTACTGAACGGCCCCGATTTGTACAGATCTGTCTTTCGCATTAGATCAGATCAGATTGTATCGGATTATTCTCACTTACTTCGATTGCCTTGGGCGAAGGGTCTCGAAACAAGGCATGGTGGACTATAACTTCTTCGATCATCTCACCACCTGGACCATCTATGGGGAACGTGTCCCAGCGCTGCTCAGGCCAAATCGAACCATCGTCATCCACATCTCTAAGGTACCGAGTCCCCGCGTCTGTTGTAACGCGTAAGTTGCCAACGTCACAACAATGGTTATTCCAGATATTGAAGCAGATCGGGTCTCGGATAAGGTACGCAGAAATGCTGCGTATCTGCGATAGCAGGTTTGTGTCGTTGGCGAGAACGAGGGTATTCAGTGGAACGAGGCAGTGCCAACGGTCAAAGTTACGAATACGACCGTTGCACAAGTTCAGCTTTAGGTCATTTGTCGGTGAGATTAGGTTTCTGAACATAGAGTTCACTGGATTCCAACCAGAGACCTCTTGGTCTCGAAGTTTAAGTGGCCCTCGAGAAAATTGCCCGCCGTTGGTAGCGGCGTGCAAGATCCTCATTTTCTCGATCAAGGGAGAAATACCACATCTCTTATGTCCCTTTTGAATTCTCAACGTTAGAGTCTATTCGAAAAGGGTCCGTGAAGACTTACTGTTAGAGTGCCTTTGATCCCCACGATTGTCATGTTTTCTGCTGCAGCAAATGGCATTCTGAGTAGATGCTCACCCTCCTGACCATACGTATGCTCAGAGCCATCAGTGAGATGTATCTAGCCCTTAGTTAACGTCTGAAAGCGGAGACGAATCTCATCGATACATACTGTAACGCCCTTGCAAGAGGAATAATTCCAAGAACGAGCCTGACAGGGCCTGAGAGCTGATGAAGCATAAATATGATAGACAAAGCCTTTCATCCAGACTCCGCCCGCGAACGAGCCTGTAGTTTCGCATGAGCCACTTTCCTGTGGTTTATGCCCGAAAATTCTCTCGTCTTGTTCAAACGTAACGGCTATACCAGACAAACCCCCCTCAGAGTTCCAAAAAAGGTCAAGAGTCCACGGACGTAATAACTCAGTCCAGTCTCGCAAGAAATGCGCCGATCGAAAGTATAAGCCTGGTTCACCAGTATCTCCTAGTACCTGCCTCTCACTCTTACGGACTCGGCTAGCCAAATAGCCCTCTGTGACAGCTTTCCGCTGAGGTTCTTGGTTATAAACCTCACCAATCTGGCCACAGACATTCCAGATCCGTCGACGATTAGCGACCGGAAACATGTCTCTAGTGACACCAGGACGCGGCTTGGAGGCTGCATCGGCCCATAAGAAAATCCTTCTGAAGTCTCTGTTCTTTAAACTTTGAGATTGCTCCTTTAAGTATTCGTGTAACTCAAAGAAGTAGGGCAAGTGAGTAATGATGCGCATTCTCCAAAACGAATCGTTGTCTGTCAGGCTTGAATATGTTTCCGATGAGGCGCAGAATAGGTTTATGAGACTATTGGTATCAACGAACTCCGAAATACCAAATATGACTGTATCCGGAAGAGCTGTGAGAGAGTTTGAAACTCTTTTGACCTCATAGTGACATTGGGCAGACTTCTCGAATTCTGGACCTGAGATGTATGTGGCGGTATCGTCCTTCATACTTCCTTGGTGCTGGGGACTGAAGACTGTGTACTCTTGTCCAGGAATACATTCCCAGTAGTCCTTTTGAGCCTCCTTGGCATCGCCGTAGTCCAGTGAGAGGCACCTATACTCAATCAATCCCGCTCGTTGCTGGAAGTTTCTCATAACCGAGAACCGGTCCAAAGCTCTGTAAAGAGCACCTTTTCTAATTCTTCTGGTGTCCGATGTTCCGGTCAAATACAGTGCTAAAGTCTTGTAGCATTCCCAGTGAAACGGTATCACTCTTTCGGGACCCTTCTTGTTTCTATAGACGTGTAGACGACGAACGTCAACACCTGCGAAAGCGGGATCTGTCCTCGTCTCGTTGGCCATTTCTATTCCTCGACCAACGATAGCTTCATCAGAGACATAAAATCTAGGTTGATCAGCATGTGGTATGGAGAATGTATGGCGAACGTACTTTGAACTTGTAGTTGCTAAGGGGTTGTAGCCTAGTAAATGCACTTGAGCAAGCCACTCGACGTCAGCGTCGCAAACAACATCTGGGTCATACGTAGAGAAGCGCCTCGGCCACATTAAGCGGAGTTTGATGACATGTGACTCAATCGTAACTCCGCAAATAGCGCACCAGGTGTCTCCACCGAGTGATATCATTCTAGATAACTGATATTTGTGCGAATTTGGTGGGTTCATCAATCAACAACCAAGCTATTGACGATAAAGCCAATTAGCGGCAGAACTTGAGGAGAGTGCAGAAAGCATTCGATTTTCACGCAGTTGTCTAGACTCGGACTAATGAACACCCCGGCCATGGTTGGCCCAGGCCCAAGGGTCGACTTTGGCGGGTCTCAATCTCTCTTCACGTGCAGAACAGACTCTACAGGGAAGTAAAGAAAGTTTTATTGACTCAGATACAAACTAATTTTTGTATTGTTCAAGGCAATTATAGATGTGTAGCTCTAAAATACTAAGTAAACCTGACGTCTACTATAAGACAACCTCATGTCCCATCTAATGGTGCTTAGCACTTTCTTCACCACATGAATCTGTTCTTTTGGCCTTCATAGTGATTACCTCGACGTACTTCAGTGCATTATCCAGTATTGTTAAGATGAAAACCACCAGGCCAAACGTAATGTTCGAGATCCTCCTCTGAACCCTCAAAAGGTATAACCCTATGTACATAATCCTCCCTGCGCAGAAGAGCATGCCAAAATTCAAGGAGATAGCCTGTTGGAATCCGCATCCAGCCCCAATTCTCACCTTCCTCTTCCACGCAACAACTTTGATGATGAACTCTCCCTTCTCCATGGCTTCAAACACTGCTTTGTCGGCGAGGAGCACGTAGCGAAATCGATAGCCAGCCATGGTCTTTTCACGTTTAGGCGGATCATCAACGCAGACTTGTCGAATCTGACGAACACTCAGTCTGTCAAACGAGGTATCTTCTCGGGTGTCGAGATAAAACAGGTCCTGAAGTCGCTTCACGTCGCGCCTGTATTCTTCGCTCTTGGTATAAAGGATGGGCGGTAAGTGGCTATCCTTTTGCCACAACACCTCGTCGTTCCAGTCTTCATCCCTGTAATAACCCAGTGCAAGCCGAGCTTGACGTTTCAAACAATCGAGCAAGATTTCCCATTGCTTGTCGGATGCGGGACTGTAATGGGCCCGATAGATGGTGTAGCCCCAGTGTGTGTAGCGATCGGCATACTCGGGGAGGTTTCGATCAACAGGTGCTCCCGTCCATGGAGGAGGATGCCATAGCTCATGAATCATTTCGTAAGGCCTGGCCATGATGGTGTGAAGATAGGCTTGGTAAAAGTAAAGTGGAGTAGAAAAGATGTTGGCTGAGGGAAGAGAAGAAGATGCCGTGGTTTTATTAACCAGCACTCGCTTAAGATAATATTCTGCTTACAATTATATGATTGTTTTTTAACGGTCTGGTCTTCGCCATCGAGTAGTTTGTGAGACTATCAGAGCTTACTTGTCTTCTTAACAATGCTCATTCTAAGGATTCTCACGCAGGCGAATAACGTACAAATGCAGGGGAGGCCAACTTAACATTACTTAACATAGATACAGTCATGCGCAAGTATTTTCAGATGTTTTGAGCTATTTATTGATGCATTTGTCGTAGTCTTATGTTCTTAAACGCCAACGCAAACCCAGTACTTGGCCCAGAGGGCTGTGCATTTAGAACCAATCGCCGGATTCCACTTCACCAGCTGCGCAAGGGAAATACCGTAGTACTTCTGAATAGATGCGCAGGTTGTTGTTGACTGGACCTGGTGAAACTTCTTGCAGTTGTTAACCAGTCCAGTCTGGATAGGCGAAGGCGTCTCGACCCCGCTGCCCGGCTTCGTCGGCGTTCCACCAATGACACCAACGCAGACGTTGTAGTCCGCCCATAGTCCCTTACAGTCTTTGCCAACAGCAGAATTCCATTTCACGAAGTCAGTCAAGGAAATCTTGTAGTAGTCTTGAATGGAAGTACAAGTGGTAGTCTTTTTCACAGTGTGGAACTTGTTGCAGTTGCTAACCATGCCTGCCTGCACAGGAGGAGGCGTCTTGATCCCGTTGGAAGACCCCTTGGTTGTCGTGGCAGCCTTCGTGGTCGTCTTCGTCGGGGGTTTCCAGCCGACAGTTGCAACGCAGACCCAATAGTTGACAAGAAGCGAAGTACAGTCCTTACCGACAGCGGGGTTCCATGAGAGGAAGGTCGAGAGGGGGAGATTATAGTAGGTCTCGATGGAGGTGCAGGTAGTGGTGGACTTGATCTGATGGAACTTTTCACAGTTCTTGACCATGCCGTCTTGGATGGGTGAAGGTGTTGTGATGCCATTTGCAGGCTTGGTAGTAGTGGACTTAGCAGTTGTTGTAGTGGTTGGCTTGTAACCTTCAACACTGATACAAACCCAATAGCCTTTCCAGAGAGAAGTGCAGTCCTTGCCAACAGCGGGGTTCCACGCAAGGAACTGGGCGAGCGGCAGCTTGTAGTACGACTCAATGGAGGAACAAGTGGTGGTGGAGGCGATCTGGTGAAACTTGTTGCAGTTCTTGACCAAACCTTCTTGAATGGGGGAGGGAGTCTCAATTCCTCCTGTCGCCGTCGGCTTCGGCGTAGTAGCGGAGGGCCTGACGGTAGCGGTGCCCGGAACACCAACACAGTAGTAGTAACTTGCCCAAATGCCACTGCAGTCCTTGCCAACTGCTGGGTTCCACTTGTAGAAAGTATCGAAGTCGAAGGTGCCAAACTTTGACACAATCTTGGCACATGTGTCGCCCTTCTCAGCCATATGGAAGGCCGTACAGCTCTCAATAAGACCTTCTTGGGTTTGACTAGGCTTGGGTGTTCCAGTTGGCTTGGTTGTAGTCACAATTGTCTTGGTTGGCGGGCTCGTAGGCGTTCCAGGGACTCCGACGCAGTACCAAGTGTTAGCCCAGATGCCACTACAGTCTTTGTCGACTGCCGGGTTCCACTTGAAGAAGTCATCAAAGTCAAAAGTCTTGTACTGAGCAATGATCTTGTTGCAAGTATCTCCCTTTTTGGCTTCGTAGAAGGATGTGCAAGTGTCAATGAGACCATCTTGGGTAGGACTGGGCTTGGTATCTTGCGTAGGCTCGGGCTTGGTATCCTTGGCACTTGTCACCTTAGGAGGATCATCGTCACGAGGAAACCCATTGTTGACCTCAACACAGTACGAGTGCCCAAGTTGGATACCACTGCAGTCGTCCTTGACGCTGGGATTCTGCGATCTGTTAGTGAAAGATAACTGAAGGATTCATAAGGGACACTAACGTATTCAACAAACGTGGCGTGTTCCAATTCCCAGAGATCCTCAAGGTAAGTACAATCTTGACCTTCTGCCTCCACAGTCTCCCAATAGGTGCAGTCAGAAGGGATGCCTGGATCAGTTGGTCCTTTCTGTCGGCGGACTCTGCGGTGGCGAGATGCTCCGACAGAAACGGCCAACAGGCCTTGCACAAGCAAGTAAGAGAGATGCATGACTAACAGGGAAACCAGTAAGATGAAAAGAGTCTGCAGAAGAAGGACAATCGGGTGCTCGATCTTGCGTAGGAGGCTTGGAGCTACTCAGTCAGATCTTCACGACCCGACAGTCATGCTAATTTATTCACCTTGTCACTGCTATCACGATACGTCCATCTTCTCTTTCACTTGCCAGATCAGGTCATGGATCCGTCGACTTGCTCATGTCATGGAAGTCCGAGGTTCCGAAGGCAACAGCTTTGCCAAGACTGGTAGGATAGAATGTGCCGTCTTAGCATGATGGACCAACAGCCTTGCATGGGGGTCAAGCTTCGGCATGCGACTTTGATCCGGCGAGATCCGCAATAGCGGGTATACAACGTTACAAGCATGCATAGTAGGGTTAGTCAGGCGGTGAACGTGAATGGCCAATTGGTCTGACGTGACTCGGATAGTTGTCAGAACCGTAAACTTAGCCGGACTTTTGTTCTCCAAATAAGCATAATTCTCCAGGCCAATTCTAACGTCCGGTAAGTCATTTCCCGATTGTTGCGGGATTTTACCCTTGGGGGATTTAGTGCGACATTGATACCATCACAAGTCGGACTTTTGTTAAATTCTCCGCCTTTGAAAATTTTCTCGTTAAACTGTTGGTGCTTGTTATGCTGTTGGTTGTTGGTTGTCACTTCAGCTGATGCAGGTTTAGATTAAACAGGGGCTGCATGTGACGACCCACTCACTGACTGGACCCTCTGTGATCAGATTCTGACTTTAGGTTTTAACGAAGAATCTCGGTCTTCGCGTAAATCTCGCGTCTATGCTGAAATTACTTCTGGGTCTCCAACAGACGATTTTGACTCGAGTATATGCGTTTGTACTTTGTAGGCCTCGGGCCGCCCCCTTCTTGCCACTAGGCATGATCTGAGCCGCTGTTTATGCCGATTGGCTAGGTTCTGGGTGAGTCGGCGATATCCCTTCAGGGCGAAGAGCGAAAGAACTTTTTTCGGTTATTCTTATCGTGATTTTAGATTCTCCACCGAACGACCGGTCTTCGAACCGTCAATGAGACTGGCTTTCAGGGATTGCCGAAGTGGTGAGCCTATTCCGTATGTGGCCAGCACGGTGCTTGGATTTCAGGAACTCAAGGAATGAAGCCGATAGGCTGGTGATTGGTACTCAAGTTTTGCTTCTTATTGTGCTTGCAGTGATATGTCTGACTAACAAGTAAGATCATTGCCTTGATCCGCCACTCTATTCAGGATTACGGCTATGTCAAGTAAATAGAAGCATGTCAGGAAACAACAGGAGTTTGCAATTACTCTAGACAGACATTTTAACTATCTATATATCGATTGTACTAAAGCCACCTCAAGAGTTTAAGCATACCGTGATAATTACTTAGAAGAATCCCAACCAGAGACCGGAGCCACACACAAAGCCGTACCAGGAGCCAAACTCTTGTCGCAGTCCTTCTCATTCAAAGAAGGGTTAATGGCATACATCAGCTTATCTTCGATTCCGTAATTCTTGTAGATACCATTGCAAGTATCCGACTTTCCAACAGTATGCCATTCACCGCACATTAAAGTCGTGCCTTCGGCAACCTTGGCGTCTTTCGGCGGATCAGTACGCAGGACTGCAGGTCCGTTTCCACTGCTGAACTTGTGCTTGATCGTAGATCCCTCCGAGACTGCTGCAATAGTGTCTTTGGAGCCCTGGGGAGAAATACAGACGGATCTGCCGTAGAACTCTGTGCCAACCTGAAGGTTGGTACAATCGCGGTCGACCCATGAGTTGTACTTGTAGATGCTATCCATGCGGATTCCTAGCGTTCTTTCGATGCTGAAGCACGTATCTCCAGGCTTCACGTAGTAAGTCTCGCAAGTCGTTGGAAGACAAAGCTTCAAATCTGCAGGAACCTCGAGACAATTAAGGATCGCATCCTGGTTACCGATGTAGAGAAGAGCGCCAGATACACCTGAGGCTTTAGAGATAGAGTCACAGGTGTCGCCCTCCTTTGTCGTGTAGTATTCGCCAGTCAGGCAGAACTCTGGCTTTTTCTCCTTTGGTTTGACAGGAGGGAGAATCTCAGTAGGTCCCGAACCACCGCATGTCTTGTAGACACGCTCGAGTTCTTCCTTGTAGTACTCATTATAGATGGAGTACTGAGAGGATTGCATGATGGCAAGGCGTCTCTGATAGCAGATGTGACATAACTCCTCACGGAGCATATCCTCACCATCTTCTGGCTCAGAGAACTCATCAATGATATCTGTGCCTCAACATTAATATCTTGTGCGGCCCGCTTGCCAATGAATCAACTCACCATTACAATATTTCTTGGTCTTGGGGTCTTTGATACAAGTCTCGTTCCAGCCAGCCCAGATGTTGCCGCCGTAACGCATAGGAACTGCGTTACTAGATCCAAGAGTCTCGCCTTCGCAGTCTTTGGAAACCGAATTAAACCATCTGCGGAGCGATCCAGAACAGGTTCCGACACAAATTTGATCGGTGAAAGTCACATTACCCAGCGATCCTCTGTATGAAGGCTGCATGAATGAGCGGATATACGGGTTGCAGGTAATATCAGCAGACAAGGCGCTGACACACGCCGCTGAGACATCGTAACCCTCGAGGTCTTCAGCTTCGTAGATGCGGAAAGCACCTGCACCTACGAGAAGGCTGAGGGCAGCAAGTTTGAGAATTGAAGCCATGGTCGATGATATGCAAGTGCTTGGCGAAGAAGAAGAATGCAAGGCGAGACGACTTTTACAAAGGTGGCGATCAGCCCAACCCCATTCTGACAAAACACTGATTCAGGTAGTATATACGGGTGACTCGGAGAATGCAAGACTTCACGATGAACGGGTTTCGATGCCCTTGCCATCTGCATGGGTCTTGCTTAGAGCCAACACGATTCACGAAGATCCTAGATGAGCAGTTTTCTCGACCCGTGTCTGTGCCCCTGCCGAGACTAATCATCCGATGTGCAATATCACTTCAAATCCCGACACATCGCACATGCCAAGTCTGCCAAGCCGGATGAAAAAGAATTTTTAACGAGCTCTCTAAACAGGAGTACTTTTGCTCGTTCATATGTAACGCTCTGTTGGTTGTGAGTTTGTTGTAGTCATTAGCTTAAAGCCCCTCAGCCCCACGAGACTAGTCGGCGGCGGTTCAGGCCCCGAGCCAATGATTCGCAGAGAATGTTCAACACTAAACTCTGTCACGACCCTTGCAGGTTTGCCTGACTTATGGTTACTTTAAATGCGGGACGCTGGACCCTGAACTGCCAAGGGGCCATGCCTGGAGGCTAATTGCGAGTTGCATACACGAGCAGAGGACCGAGCATCTGTATCATAATCGCCGGCTTCACGGTCCTCTCCGGAGGCCCAAAAACTACAGAGTATGTACGTGTATTTACCCAATTGGGCAATTGAGCAACATCCATCACCATGTTTGCTCTTCATCCTGGACAGTCGGAATGGAGACCGAGGTATCGAGGTATGGTGGGTTTGCCGTCGATGTACAGCTTCTTATTATCTGAGCAAGAGTAGAGCCAGCTGTGTTCGAAGAAGTTTGTCAATTTTGTGGCAAGAATACTTTCATTCAATCTTTCTAAGCGTCAAGCTCACATCAACGGTCCTTATTGTGAACTATTCACTTTGCTCAGCTAGCGACAACCAACATGCGAATGCGCACGTGGCTGTTCGGCCTGCTGCTGCTATGTCTTTGCCTAGCAGTAGCAGCGCAGGACGACACTACATGCAGCGCAAGCAAACGCTGTAAGAATGGCTGCTGTAACAAATCCGGCAACTGTGGCTTTGGCCCTGATTGTGAGTAGTATTGATATGCATGGCGTGCCAAGTTGGTGCTGACATACGCCCTTTACAGATTGCGGAACCAACTGTCAATCGGACTGCGATCGCAAGTCGGAGTGCAATCCTGGATTTGGCTCTAAATGGGCCGAAAACGACAAATGTCCTCTCAATGTCTGTTGCTCCAAGCACGGGTATTGCGGCGTAAGTAAAGCACCTAGCCCTGCTCAGGCAGTGTTCTGATTGAGATACTGACACGAAAAGACTACCAAAGACTTCTGCGGTTCGAAAAAGGTTAAGAAGCCCAGTTGCAGCAAGACTGGCGATGTCTCTCGAGTTATTGGATACTTTGAGGGATGGGCGAAAGCCCGTCCCTGCGAAGCCTTCTCCCCCGAGCAGATTCCGATCGGACTATACACGCACATCAACTTCGCTTTCGCCACCATCGACCCCAAGACCTTCGAGATAAAGCCAGACAAAGAATCCGACATCCGAATGTATAAGCGTCTTACCGAACTCAAGAGACGGGATCCTGAACTCAAGGTCTATATCGCAGTTGGTGGCTGGACCTTCAATGACCCAGGTCCAACCGCGTCTACGTTTTCCGACCTTGCAGCTTCTCTTCCTCGTCAAAGAGCCTTTATGAAGTCCCTTGTGTCGTTCATGAGTACCTACGGGTTCGATGGCCTGGACTTGGACTGGGAATACCCTGTCGACACGGACAGAGGCGGTCGGGCCGTTGACTTTGCCAATTTCCCCAAGTTCATGGAGAGACTCAAGAGCATGTTGGACGCCGCCGACAAAGGTCTCAGTATCACGCTGCCTGCGTCGTATTGGTATCTGAGACAGTTCGACATCAAGAAACTCGTAAGTCAATTGTTTACAAGAAGCCTGGGGAAACACTGACATCCATTGACAGGAAAAATCGGTTGACTTCTTCAACATTATGTGAGTTCCACAAAGGTCTTCTCAATGTTCGCACTAACCTTTCTTACAGGTCCTACGACTTGCACGGTGCCTGGGACCAAGGCAAAAACTACACCCAACCCTTCCTCAATGCTCACAGCAACCTCACGGAGATCGACCTCGCCCTCGATCTGCTTTGGCGAAACAACATTCAGTCGGACAAGGTTGTCCTCGGCATGGGCTTCTACGGTCGCGCTTTCTCGGTCCAGACTGGAACCTGTACCAAACCCGGTTGCTTGTTTAAGGCAGCGGGTAAGGCTGGGGACTGTAGTCGCGAGAGGGGCATCCTGCTGAACTCGGAGATTGTCACTACTATCAAGAAGTACAACATCAAGCCCGAGTTCTATAAGGAGGAGGCTGTCAAAGTTGCCAAATGGGGTAACCAATGGGTTTCCTACGATGACGAGGACACGTTCAAACTCAAGACTGATTATGCGAAATCTCGATGTCTTGGAGGTGTCATGGTATGGGCCATATCGCATGATACCAAAGAGGCGAGGTTTAACAAAGCCTTGGCCTTGTCACTGGACCGCAAAACCACATCGGGCGAGTTTGACGAGAATGAGAAGGCATACGACATCAAGAAGATCCCCAACGAGCAATGTCGCTGGACCAATTGCAAGGAGGGATGTCGCAAGGGCTGGGTGGCTGTCCCCCGCAGCGACTCAGGTGCGCGCAAGAACGAGATCATGTTTGACGAGACTGGCTGTGGCGGTGATGGCGGCCATACCTTCTGCTGCCCTGCGGATTCTACAAAGATGCCCACGTGCGGCTGGTACGGGCATAACAATGGCCGTTGCCCAACTAGCAGCGAGTGTCCAAGCGACATGACGGAGATTGCCTCCAACGAGATTTACTGCAAGAAGAAAGGCTCGAAGAAGCAAAACTTCCAGACAGCCTGCTGTAAGACCGATGTCGTGGGTACAAAGGTCTACGGCACTTGCGAATGGGGCCAGTATCCGAAGTGCGATGCTCAGGAAGGCTGCCCCAATCCTCTCGGCAACAAGAAGATGGGCTCTCTGTTGGCCTACTCGGCGTCTGGATCTGGTGGTGGCAACTGCGACGACGCGAAGAATGAACTTGGTCTCAATGTCCCTGGTGTGCAGTACCGTAAGTTCTGCTGTAACGACAGCGACAAGAACCTTCGCTTCACAGATTGCCAGAAGTTCAGGAATATTGGGCCGGAACCTGAGGTCATGCCCAGAGGTTTCTGCCGCAGTGGTTGTCCTCCCGATCGCATCCAGGTAGCTATTGACACCCAGGTCGATACTTGTGCTATCGCAGGGGTTGGAGGAATGGCTCATTGCTGCAAGACAGACTATGCCGAGATTTTTGAGGTGGAGAACCCCAAGATTGACGCATTTGAGAACGACGTCAAGGCATGGTTCAAGAACCCAACTTGTCCAAAAGACAACGGTGACCTTTTCAAGCGCTTTGATCCGACAAACGACCTTGCGATTAACTCATCGATCTCCATGGATTTATCCCCGAGGGCCAAAGAATTGGAGGCCGAGCATTCGATGGTTATAGTGCTGGCCCGGCTCATCGCCGGCATGGTCTCTAAAGAGGTGGCAGAGGCACTCACACCAAAATGGGATCTTGTTGTGGAGGAAGAATATCCGAATCTGGTCGTACAGACCCTCCAGAAAGCGAAGAAGGAGGTGCCCGAATGGGAGGATGAGGACCCCGAAGTCATGTCGCATTTCACCATCTGCGATCCTCAACGGGCCAATGCTAGGATCGCTGCTATACTGGGTAAGGGCAGTGATGGTAGAACATTGACACTTAACTGCACAAATGCCATTTGCGAGAATGGCGTTTGTAATACCTTCCCAGATGCAGACAAGAGGCGAAGTAACCTTTTATCCACTCGACATTCACATTCTGCGGCACATCTCCATATCCATCGCTCATTAATCGCGCGTCAAGCATCTGAAGAAGACACTGAAGTAACTATGGAGGATATAGATGGCAGCGAAACGAAAATTGAATACAAAATTCCTGGGGTGAGTGCTAAACAACATGGACCAGGGAAGCTTGTAGCAATACGGCTCCATCTAGGGTCCTGCGACAAAAGCCTTTTGTTTTGGCTAACAAATCTTACTAGCATGACGAACCCAAGTCACTCGTAAAGAAGAACCGTAGAGCACAGGTGGTCGAATTCGTCAACATAGCGGATTGTTCCGAAACCAGGTTATGGTTTACCAAATGGTCCGCCTCATTGGAAGGTCTGGGATTCCAGAGTCCGTATCTCCCTATCAACTGTTTAATTGACTGTAATTAACCTGATGGATTAGCTGAACATCTTGTTGACAAGAGCATTTTGAAGGGCTTCTTGGCACACGCATCACTTGGAGTGTAAGTATACCAATCTTCGAGTGGGCTGAGATGTTATTGCTAATCGCACCTCGAAGGTTGCCATCTGGAGCTACTAGTATGTACGGTCCGATACCAGCTGTGTTCTTCGAAGAGGCTGTCAGACTTGGGCAAGTCCATCGTGGTTTCCCCCGAATTTCCGGGGGCTTCGACGACAGCAACTTACTGAGCCGCATGTTCGAGTGTCTTGGCAGCAAGCTCAACTTCAAAAACTTCGTTATCGTTTCGGGTGAGGTTAACTCAGCCAAAGGCTTCGTAAGTACACATACAGAACTGAAAGTTAATTGCGGCGAGACTTACCATAGTTTTACACATTCCAGATTATGTATTTCAGAAACCCAATAGCCCTCAACAAGCTCAGAGGTAAGGCAAAAGACAAACTAGACGAATTACTGGCAACCATGCGGGCGGTCACTGCATTTTTTGACTACATGAACTCAGTCGACTCGTCAGAAGCAGACTCTAAAGGCAAAACAGTCTGGAAAAAGTTTAACAATATAGTGAGCAATGTTGTCAGGCAATTGCTTTGGGCTGAAAGTCTGTGGGAACGGGAACATCCAGGTCGTCCTGTTGCAGCAGCTCAGTTCTTCGTGGAGTATCTCAAGGACCATTACGCTGAGGTGGGACTTCATGCCAGAGAGTGGCTTGAGGCGGCTATCGAGGCACTCGAAGCAGAGCTTGGAGTATCTTCCGGTGATAGAGCCCTGGAGATTAGAAGGGCCATCGCTCATTATAAGAAGAATATGGTGCACGTGATGGTCAATACCGATTGGCGCATCGATCTCTTGAGGGATGATGACGACCCCAGTGAGGGTGATGAGGATGGTGATGAGGATATGGATATAGACTCAGATTGAGTGATGGCAGAGTGGGATTGGAGATTCATATTGCAACATTTGGCAAATATATAGACTTGCATAGAGATTTATTTCATCCTCAAGCGTCTTTGCATTAGTAATCGATTCTAAACTGTGTGATTCTAGCTGTGCCTGTCGGATCCGCAGTTCGAGCTTCAGAGCAATCACCAAGCGGCTCAATGCATGAGAGTCCTGGCCAGGTGTCCTTGTCAAGATCACCTCCAGAAACCTCACGATGCATTTCCGCATATATGTCGTGACAAATGTAATCACAAAGCAATAGCGACTCCCAGAGACTCAATATGTCGCCTGTCAGCATTCTGACCCAACCCTGACCGGCACGATCCTCGTCCCAGTCGTAACCAACTGCCTTGATTACAAACACCCCGCGCGCGACATCCTTTAGCACTGCCTCGTCGGCGACAAGTGCAAAACAATGATTGGCGCCCTCTATGTTCTTTTTGGCCTCAGGAAGCTCTTTAACACAGACCTCCCGAATTTGGTGGATGTCAAGGCCATCAAGCAATGATACATCTTCCCGGGTTGAGAGTCGGAAAAGCTTCTTTAATCGGTTCACATCTTCCAGGTACTTGGCTTTGTTACTGTAAAGTCCCCTCTTCTGTCTTTTATCGTTTTTGAACATATCGTCATCTTCGTGGTAGCCAAGTGCAAGGAGGGTTTGTCGAGTCATGGCGTCGATAAGTGCATCCCAATGCTGATTCGAGTCGGAACCGTAATACGTACGATAAACCGTGAAGCCCCATTTCCGATAATATTGGAAGTTCTCTGGGTCCTCTTTATCGAGTGGACGACTTTTGACTCCAGGTTCTTTGCGTGGCGGGCGCCATAAGTGATTGATCATTTCTGAGATTGACGTCATATCGATAGTAGCCTGTTCTTATATATGGTATTTCTTGGCGTTTTCTTTTACGTTCTCAAGTATGGCTGCAGTGTTAAGAGATGAGGAATGCGAACGTGCGTTAACTCTAATATATTCCCTGATCCCCGCTTAAACGCTTATTGCGCTTACAGTTATACCTAACTCTGCTCTTGACCCACCCTGTACTACCGACCGGTGTGAACTTTATTTTTAGAACTGACGGGAGAGAACTGGAATTTAATCTCTAGGATAGAGTTAGTAGTCGGATAAGTCAACTTTAATAGTTTAACTCAAAGTGTTTATTGGGCTACTCAAGTCGATGTTACTTTCCTCACTACCTCAGTATATATCAATGTAATATTATATAGAAACATGAACCTACTGCTTGAGACAGACTATTGCAACGAAGTCCTTGTTCCCCGTAAGATCACAGCGTACAAATTGTATAGATGGAATATCGTAGATTAACCACGGATAGCTAATCAGTCTCTATTCACATCTACACGGCGAGGATCCCCCTGAGGGCAGCACGTTATGTATATTGATGCCGGGCGGAACATACTCTGGCCAGCCACTCAACCCCTTCTTCCTCCCAAGAGCGCACCGGTCGCCAATGGCGCTGCCGACGGGTGAAACCACTACATTACATATAGCGGCAACCTTAGTTGCACGATACCTAGTCCCGCGCAGCTAGATATTGTGGATAAATGTAACAAGTGGCATTGCATTGACGGTGGCGACGTGCGATCTTACATTGCCAAAAAATAACAGGTTGAGTTAGCGGAATGTTACAGCTACTATTAAAAGGACGGTAACGACTGTTCAGGCTTCTGGCTGCCTTTCTATGTTTCTGTTGGTGTACAGGATTCGGATTTCTGCATGATGCGGAACGAGGGGTGTATTTAGTGAAACACGTACGTAGGAGCTTTGAGCTTCGGCTGTTACTTTTGGCCGAACTTTAGTATGGTGTGATTCTTCCCCAACTCCACTTATTGGGGCTGGAATGTTGAATCAATTTTATAAAGACCCATCCATTAGTCCACGCAGGCTGTAAATCCCACTCAACCCAGCTCTCTTCATTCTCCAACCGAGTCAGCCCTTCGCAAAATGACTTCTCCACTCATTCACCTCAATGGATCTCCTTATCATGATTTTGTTCGTCGCCCAAACGATAACCACGATGAAACTAGAGAAGCATCTCGCACGCCAATGACAATGATTGATCGAGACGGCTTTATACTATGTGAGACTGAAGACTTTCGCCTTCTCTACCATATAGTACTCCGAAACGATACCCTGGCCCTGAGGCAATATTTGACTGTCGCACCTTGGGCTGTCGACCGCATGGGTGCGCGACCCGAGATATACGAAGGCAATGATTACTTCTTGCTCGCGACCCAGAATGGAAACCTCGGCGTCCTCCAAATTCTTCTAGAGCATTACACGAGAAATCACGATTTCACCGATGAGGTCCGTTTCAAAGAGCGAGGTTACCAGCTGCTGAATGAGGCTGCAAGGAGGGGCCATATTGAGATCGTACAATTCTTGCTCAAAGGCCAGCCGTTATATGCGGGGATTCACGAGCGTGATTGCAAAGGCTATACTGCGCTAGGATCGGCTGCCGACATCCATTCTGTCAGGTATAATAACTCGGCCGACTGGCGAGATGTTTGCGTCGACAACAACGATAAAGTCATGAATCTTCTCCTTGACTGCGGTGCCAACGCTTCTGATACCGTCCTCCCGATGAACGATTTGGAAGAGACACCTGATACCGTTCTGACCTTGGCCGCGCAATGGGCAAGCCCCAAGCTTATCAATCGACTCATCGAAGGTGGCGCTGACATCCAAGCCAAGGTGACAAAGTTTCCGTACGATCTAGGATTCTGGAATGATCATGGAGACATTTGCGATATCAATGCATTTTTAATGGCTTGCATTAGCGCCAACTATAAAGCTGTTCAGAGCCTGCTTGGTATTCCAGGCGCTGACCAGGCAGACATGGTATCCTCTCGCGATAGTCGTGGAAGCCTTCCTATCCACTGGGCCACAAGAAACCAGTTGCCAGATGAGCTTCAGTACATCCCGATATCGATACTTGAGGGAAGAGTGCACCATATCGCAAGTACCATTAAATTACTCCTAGAGATAAATCCGGCTACTGTGAATATCCAAGATGAAGACGGAAATACACCCTTGCATTATGCAACTGAACATTTTGGTCGGAGCGGCAAGTCATATGCAGGCATTTTTGAACTCTTATGTCGAAAAGGCGCCGATGCTGGTATACGCAACACACAAGGCCAAATGCCCTTGCACACCTTGTTCCGCCGCGATGGCTCCAACATGCCTGTCGAGGCTACCGCTGTATCTACTTTACTTGCTCACGGCGCCAATGCTACGGATGTTGACAATGCCGGAAACACACCCCTGCATGTTGCCTGCTGCAATGCAATCTTTGGAGACGCTGTCTCAGTCTTGCTTCAGCATGGCGCTGACCCTACAGTGCCAAACTTAGAACAAGAGACACCTATTCATATAGTTGCGCAATTTTATTGTCCTCCAAGGGCTTCCCGCAGCAAAGCCAATGAGGTCATGAGGGCACAAGATGATATGCTGGATAGGCTGGTGAAAGCTAGAGGAACAGAGTTGATGGACCTTAAAAATACAGCAGGAAAATCTGCGCGACAGATATATCAAGATTCTCGGGCGAAGTCGTTGGAGGGCGCGAGTGGAAACAGAAATAGAGGTCAGGGTCGTGGGTTCACCTTGAGGCGCTAAAGATCACAAAGGCAAATCATACATCTAGAGCTCAATGTCGTTTGGATATTGGCATAGAGTGCCCAAGAGTAGAGAGTATGTCAAAGAAGATTACAGAGGATATATTTCTATACGGATAATGTTAGTAGGTCTGATGATTGATAAAAATCTAATGTCCTAAAACGCTCTAAATCTTATGCATCCTTGGTCCTCTTAGGGCCATCCAACTCTTTCCATCCCTGCCTCGTCTTGTCACATATTTCTCTTGGGTCCAGTCCTTCCGAGTCCGTCAATTCCATCAATTCCACCCCTCCAGCCTTCACCAGTCTTGATAACACATCCTCCTGCGCCCTAATTCTTTCCGGTGACTTGTAATCCTTGTTGAGTCCCAAGTAGGTACCAGCAGCAGCTCGGTGAAGGGCTGTCTGCCCGTTCAAATTCGGTAGCGCAGGGTCAGCGCCGTGAGCAAGAAGAAGTGACACGATATCGCTCCATTCTAGGTTTGCCGCTGCGATGTGTAGTGGCGTATTACCGGCCATATCGATGTCGGTTGGAGATGCACCATGGGCGAGTAAAGTTTCTACTGTAGCTGTGTTTACAGGACTCTTTTTGCGATAGTATACTCTACAGTCATCACCATCCTCGAGACGGAATAGGGTATGCAGAGGTGTTTGACCTTCTGTGTTCTGTATGCTGGCATCGCCGCCCCTGGCGCAAAGGAGCTGGATTATAGCAGTGTACATCTCATCGTATCGACTTGGTGACCGGGTGGCGTAGTGTAAAGGTGTATTTCCATCGTTATCGGCGACGTTGATGATGGTTGGGTCCAGTCCAAGAGGAATTCAATGATATTCGCAATGCTGCGTGCTTTATCCAGGACAGCCGTTTTTTCCTTTGGCAAGGAGCATTAAGCCGCCCAATGGCGTTGTGTTAAACCCGAAGTGCAGCAGAAGTGTATTTTCTCTAGAA